TAGGCACACCTCCGAATTTAACAAATTAGATCACTCACATCTATAGGTGACAATCGAGTCATTCGGATCGGGTTTGGGTCGGATCATTTCGGGTTATAATTATATTCAGTTTAGGTTCCGGTCAGATCAGGTTCAGGTTTAGTTTGGGTCGGGCATCGGGTCGGGTCAAAATCAGATTGGTTGGTTTTCGAGTCGGATTAATATCGGATCGGTTGGTTTCGAGTCGGGTTAGTTTCGGACCGGTTGGTTTCGAGTCGGGTTAGTATCGGGCCAGTTTGTTTCGGTTCAGGTCAACTTTTAGATTTTCGAATCAATTCGGGTTGATTTCAGTTTGTTTCAACTGTCATCACTCTTTGTCATCATAGTCATCAATGTTGCTCTTCATTACTTGTAATTCAGGAATTTTATGAAACTATATATTATCACATCCCAAATCCGGGACTAGAAGTTTAGTTTAAAATTTAAATGAATTGAATCAAGAAATATTTAAAATCCAAAATTGAAAATCAAATTATAATATTTGAAAGTACAATAATAACTTTATAAATCCTAATAAATTTTAGGATTGATCGTATTATTAACTCTCTATAATTTTTTACTTTTATTATAACTATTATTATTTATCATATTTACAAAATACATAATATATATACATATATATTTTAATTTATTTTTAATATTATTTTACTAAAACACTTTATTTGTTCCTAATTCTCAACCCCAAATTAAAAATTTACAAACCCTAGAATTTTTTATATTATTTTAATTTTTATATTATTTTATATTTACATTCTAACACACTAAAAATTCCCCAAATTATTTTAATATAATTGAGTATGACATGCAAGAATAATTGTCATTGACATTGAGTCTCCCTTAGGGTTTCCATCAAACCCTAAAATTTAGGCTGGTTTGATTCCATATTGGGTCTTTGGTTCTTTGGGCCGGTTTGACTCCATTTGGGCCTTTGTAATAGGTCTTTGGGTTGTTGTAAATTAGGCCTGCTGGTTTGTAATATTAGGTTGATCTTGTGTTGTAATTGAGTCTACCTGAAAAGTAAAAAGAATAAAATAATGAATATAAATAGGTTTAAGGGTCATAATTGCCCTGTAGTATACTAAATTTATCAATTTCACCCTTATCGTATTTTCGTATCGATTTTGCCCTCGAAGTTGTTTAATTGCATCAATTTATAGCTTTGACTATTTTGACTAACGGAACTGTTAATTTCTACTTATGTGGACACCAACTATTTCCATGTCAAAGGACTAAAATTACGATTTCAAAAATATATATCAACATTTTATGTTTAATCCCCCATATCTTTTTCACTTTATTTCCTTTCTTCTCTAAGCCTTTCACGTGTGCTCTCCACTCTCAGGTATGGTTACTACATCACTCTGTCATCGCCCACCATTGACCGCTGGTGACCATCGCGTCGGACGTCATCGTCGACCACCGTTTGAGACGCAAAATACATCAACAAAATTGTCTTGTACTCCTTGTCATGAATTCGACCTTCCATTACTCGAATACATCACCGATCATCATAAATCTAACGAAAAACAATCGTTTAGATAATTTATTGGATTGGTTAGTAGAGTTTATCTCAATTGTATTGCAATCAGGAAACGTAGTTTCATATGATAAAATGTAGTTTTCAGCACCTTTAGCTGGAGCTGGTGTTGTTGGCGCCGCCAGAGGCAGCGGAGTTGCGGCCTTCGGAGGGGAAATCCAACATTAGCACCAATGTTCCCCTGACAAAAATGATGGGTTTATCCATTGATTATGAGGGGAATTCGTCGTTGTCAATGCCATGATCGACCTACTTTGTCATCACATGCTGGAGATTAGGGAGGTTGGTGATTATGATGCAGTCATTGCTTCCATTCATCACAGGAGACATAGCGGAATGTCGTGCTCCATATGCAAAATTTTTTTTTTTTGTTACTTAAACAATAATTTTTTGTTATTGCCAATGTTATTCTGGTGACACGTCAGCAAAATGATCTTAGGTGGAAACAACTGGCATCCACGTTCGCAAAAATTAACATTATGTTAGTTAACACGGTCGAAGATATAAATTAATGTAATTAAACAACTTCGAGAATAAAATTTATGTGAAAATACGATATAGGCAAAATTAAAATTTTTGATTTACTACAAGGATAACTGTAACCCTTAAGCCATATAAATACATATAATATTAATATATTTAATTAGAAAAAAGCCTAATAAAAACAAATTTCAACAGTTTATATAAAACTTGCAAAAAAAAAAGCCGAATGAAAACAAATGTCAACAGTTTATATTCACTTCTTCTAAATGCAAGTCAATTTTTATTTTATTTTATGATATTAAATAATTTCATACATATTATAATCATTTGAATTGTATTATGAATTCCTTACTAATTGTAGTTTTTTTAGTGCAACCGCAATCATAGTTTATGATATTTGAAGATGAAAAATATATTCTAATACAAGCTTTATATATAACATTATTTCAACATATTGAACTTATATTAAAAACCCATTTAAGGCACACACAAAATTATAGCTGCATTCTTCCTCTTCCTCTCTTTTTTTTTTCTTTATAATTTGTGTCAATTTTATTCATCAATCTAACTTTTTCTTTAATTTTGTTTATCGAGCGTTGACACCGGTTCTAATGATGGTTGTCGTTGGTCGGTTATCTTTTTTTTTTTTTAGTTTTTTAATAAGAATAATTATGTATTTGTGATATATTCTCTGCCTTTATGACACATATATCTCTGTCTTTGTGCATGTTTTTCTCTATCTTTTGGTAGTTCACTTTTTTGTCGTTGTTTGCAGTTTTAGCCGTTATTTTTTATCTTTTTTTCAGGGTTATATTTGACATCGTTACGATTGATCAAGATTGCACTTATTTGTTATCATGATGATCTTCCATGCTTTGGACCCTTTGATTGATTTGGATACGCGTTTTTCATTCGTTGATAGTTTTCTCACGTCGCTTGACTCTGATTTGCGATTTATCGGTGTTTTTTCAGTAACTCCATCCTCTTTTGTGGTTCGTTTACCGATGCAGTCATATTTGTTTGTATCTTTATTTTATTCGAGTTTTTGGTTAGGTTTTTTAACATTTTCCTTCTTTGGTCCTTATGAGATCTAGGTGGTTAGTTTTTGTCTCAATAGTAATAGAAAAATGTCATAATTATATTTTAGATTTACAATTATACTTGTAAATCTTCATTGTAATTTTAGATATTTTTTATTTTTAATAAAACTAGCGACTTTCTATAAAAAAAAACATATTGAACGATTTAACAGTAAAAAATTATTATCTTTAGAGAATTTTAATTCGAGTAATTACATCTAGAAAACGTGTGTAAAATTAGATCATTAATAATAATAAAAAATACATTAATTATAAGAAAATTTAAAATTTTCAGAAGATACGAATACACCTTAATATCCCTCGATCTATACATACCGATAAATATTCAAGGTTGAAAACATCTCCAGAAACTTTTGATCAAATCCTTGTTCAGTGGAGCATTTTATTGTCAAGCTTGAAAATGTTTTCAGAAGAGCCATGAGGTATTATGTATACCCACTGCGCGAAATGTTAGTGGATTTCAATTAAATAAAAAAAAAACCTCTACTTTGTCCAATTTGCAAGTTTCACACTGAAGACCCAACAAACATGTACGAATTTATTTCATAAAGTTGAATTCCATTCAAATTCATTGAATTTATCTGTCTCATTCAGACGAGACAAACGAACTTCGACCATATTTTTTTTGTTTTGGTTACTATTTTTTTTTATTTGATGACTTACTCAGGTCATTATTTTGTTTTTTGACTCAATCATAATGATAAGACGATGAAAGTTGTAGATAAGAATCATTTTTCTCTAAGTTATAAGTTGAAGTTTCATGAGTCTGAAAGAGATATTGAAAAAGATAAATTGATAGAGAAATGCTGAGCTCAGTTCATTGATATATAAAGTGATCAGAAAAGATATCGAAAAATGACGATTTTAACAATATCGTAACATGAGAATGAAATTCTAGTAGCTATAAATTTGTTGGAAATATGATAAAATGAAGAAAAAAAATTGATGTGCTCAACACATAGCTCTACATCAACAGAAACAAAAAACTCATATCAACAGAAAGATAGGCCACGTTATCATTTTATTTTTGATTTAACACTCTAGTGACAAAAAAATAATATCAAAATTGAGTGATTTTTTTTAATTTAGTGACCAAAATAAAGTTATGGTCAAAGTTGAGTGATGAAATTTAGTACAGTTTACTCGTAATGAAGAAGCGAGTTTGAGGTCAGGGTGGCTGAACGATGGCTGAAACACCCTAGAATTATGCCTTGCATGTTCTCTCCAGACTACAGTTATGACTCCAGAAGATAAATGGAATCCCATCATTAAAAAACTAGAAAAATAAATATAAAAATTTAAGCACGTGACGAATGAAAGGACCATGTATGTATTATAAAAATAGAAACTTCAGTGCACTTAGCTCGTAAGAACTCTATATTTCCCCCACATGGATAAAAGCGGAAAGAACAGAGCAATAACGCGGAACACGGTTTGGAATTTCTTCGGTTCTGTTCTGACTTCCTCTCCTTAACCTTTACCGTTCGTGTCTGATAAATAGGACAAATAATGGTCCGTTTTACAACACATTTTGAAGGTATAATTGGTCAGTTTGGACCCCTCTTTCTTTGTAAACTCGTTTTCTTTGGGCCAAATTTCAAACTTTCTACATTCCCACACAACCTTTTTCTTCTCTCCTTTAAACGCCCCAGTTCACATTTTGGGGTTGCATAATCAAACTTCTCTCGTTCAGGCCAAGTTCCATGCTGGTTGTTGCTTCTTACTCTTCACCAGTCAGGTTCTTTCAGTCCCTTTGGCTGCTTCTGCTTGTGTTCCTTCGGGGAAAGCTCTTGCTTCTTCATAACCAAATTTTCCTGCAATATATCTTTCTGTTTAAACTGTTTTGAAAAAGAGAAATGGAGCATATATGGAACTGGGAGCAGGGGACACTGGTCAATGAGCTGATTCGAGGAATGGAGTCAGCGGAACAGCTAAGGTTGCATTTGGATACAGCGTCTTCTGCTGAATCCAGGGACTTGCTTGTACAAAAGATTTTATCTTCGTATGATAAAGCTCTTCTGATTTTGAAATTCAATGGCCCTTTGTCCATGGATCAGCAGCAGCCACAACAGTCGCCTCTATCCATCGATGGCGGCTCTCGGAGAGATGATTTGGATAAGGGTAACCAGGATACTAGAGAAGTCTCACAGAAGAGGTGAATTCGGAAACTACAAGTCGTGCTTCTTGTATGTGTATGTTGTTCATTTGATGCTGATGATTCTTGTTTTTGGAATCGGGTTTTTCAGAAATATGTTGCCGAGCTCGACGGGTAAGGTGAGAATTACTTCCGGAAGCCTGTTGGAAGGGACTCATGACGATGGCAACAGTTGGAGAAAATACGGCCAAAAAGACATCATGGGAGCCAAATATCCTAGGTGACAACCCTTTTTCCCTTATCCTACTTGAGATGACCTAATCATTGACTAAACACTATGGATTAGTAAAAATCCTATTTTATACTTTCGCAGAAGCTATTACCGATGCACATGCCGGCACACGCAGGATTGCTGGGCAACAAAGCAAGTCCAGAGATCAAAAGAAGATCCCACCATCTTTGAGGTCACTTACAGGGGAGCTCACACATGTGCCCAAGGAAACCAGGCGGTTCCACCACCTGCAACACCAGAAAGCCAACAACATAAATTGACCAATCTTAATAACAACAATAACCAACTATTGCAATCGCAAGATATCCTCTTGAGTCTTCGAAACTGTCTAAGGGTCAATACAGAGGGATTAGACAATAGACAGATGGCACCTTTCTCATTTCCTTCAACACCATTCGAGTTGCTAAAGAGTGAAAACCATAGTTTTTCACCTTCAGGAATACTTGATAACAACATCTTAAACAACTTTTCTTCACCTTTTATGTCCCCTGCTACACCTGAATTAAACTACTTTTCAGCTCCGCAATCTTCGGTTAGCAACTTCGGAGGGATTCTTAATACACATAATTTTGAATCTGATCCAATTATGGACTTGGATTTCACGCTCGATCAAGTGGAGTTCGATCCAATTTTCCAATTTGATACCCTGGATTTTTCGACTAATTCTTTTTCACAATCAAAATAAAGAGTAAAGGTAGATGTAGAACTCGAGTTCGACTGACCAGATTAGCTGGTTGCATATGTTCACTAGCATTGTTTTTCGCCAGGAGCTATCGTAAAATACAAGTCTTTTCCAATTTCATGTTGATTGTAAGACATTTCTTCTGATAACAAGATTTGGTATTTATTCTAATTGCAGTTGCAATAATATTGGTGCGTGCACGTACCTAAAAGATAATGTTGGCTTTATAGAAACCTTCTGGTCAAAAACATAACAATGTAAAGTGCTTTAACACTTGCTGCAACTTCATTGCAAGCTGCAAATGAGTATTAACTGATGGCCACTTAAAAAATCCTAATAAGTTGTACAGAACATCACATAGTATGAAAGGAACAAATCCCGAATTTTAGAAGAGAAGAATCTGTTTACAAATGAATAAAAGCATCTACATTCCAATGATCCCTTCAGTAGACACAACATTGCTTGTTTTGACCCTCATCAGATGGTATACATAAAAAAATAAAACCCTATTAAACAAGGACACTGAGAAATCTGGCAGCATCATTAGTTCTAAATTGGAAAGTCGAAATCTGTTTGAAGAGATTCAGAAATGAACCGACAACCAAGCTCTAGTCAGCAGCGAAGAAGAATTTGTATGTGCCAAGGGAATCTTTGGAGAACAAGAAGAAAGAAGCAATATCCAACTGAATTGAATTACACTGACTTTGTCTGTATTCAAGGCTTCTTCTGCATTTTCACGTCAGGAACAGAACTCGATGTGCTTTCTTTTGCATCCTCAATTTTCCGAAGAGCTTGTCTCAACCCCAAGACCATGAATAAGTTGGTTAAAGCGAGAAGTGATTCTGTCCCTCCATGTAACAAATCCGCATTAGACAAGGAAGTACCATAATTCACCTTCTCTGTGTCAACCACATGGATAGAGTCACAATTAGGCTAAATATGTATTAAACGTAATTCGTGTTTATTGGTTAGAACTTACCATAAATGCCGGCTGGGACTGCTCAATGGTGAATATACACATAGCCAGAAATCAAAATAGAGGAAATTAGTATAATTGTAACAAAGCCACCAATATCAAAACTAAATTGCAGAAGAAAAGCATCCGGTAGTAATAAAGCTTGTATAGCACTAAACTGAATGAAGACATATTTTCTTTGTTCCATAACCCTCATTTCTTTTCTGTTTGCTTTGAGCAGAATGGTAGTACTAAATTGCGACGCAACGCAGTGTAAGGGCATTATAGCGTTTCTCAAAGTCACCCACAATGCAACCCCATCATAGAAACATTGTTATTTTTAGCACATAAATCACACCATAACGTTCACAACATTGGCAACCGCAACACCATAGTTGCACCTATCTTTACTGTTTCCCAACATAGATGCATTTAGCAACCAATTGGGTTTCTTGTAAAAAATTTTAACATTAAAGAAGACAACAAACTAAATTCATAATATCAATTAGTGCAATGAAATTATATGAAAGAGAAACCCAGAAAACTCACTGGTGGCGCCGACGAAGGCAAGCAGGAAGTAAAAGCCGAAAAGGGTGAGCTTCGGAGCAGACTTGGACTTGGTGATGAAGTACAAGAACCCAACGTAAGGAAACAAAGAAGCTGCAAAAAGTTGTGAAGCAATGCTTTCGGATACAATGTTTGGTGCCCATGGATCCACTGGCAAGAACCACCCACGTACAATTACTCCTTTCCTTTTAACAGCTATTCCATCTATGTAAGTCCTCAAATTTCTGCTTGATTTGCTTGGGTTTGCTTGGTGATTCTGGAAGAAAGAAGAAGAACCCAGAAATGTTACAGGGACATGATAAGTGGATAGTTTAAACGAAGGTTGTACACAGGTGAGATTCATTGAATTCAGTTTCAGTTTTCTGCCTTGTTCTTTTGGAGCTTGGATATGCCTTCAAGTAGAGAATTTTGATCTTTTGGGTTTCTGACATGGGCTTTGATGCAACAATCTGGATGCTATGTGTGATTTTTTTTTTCATTAGGACATTCGGCTTTTTTATTTAGCCCATTAAAATATTCGAATTTTTATTTTGGAAAATAAAAAATGTTATAGTGGAGTTGGGATTCATCACATTGAGATGAAGAATTTCAATAAAAATATTTATTTATTTAAATTCATTATCTTGAAATGATGAGTTCCAATAAAAATATTTTTTTTAAATTTATCACATCAAGGTAAAAAAATTTTAAATAAATTTTTTTTATTAAAACTCATCACTTCGACATAACAAATTTCATAAACTATAAAAAATATCGTACATTCTAAAATAAAAGTATATGTGCCATATTTTGTAATTTTTTCGGGCTGCCCTATTGGGGCAAAAAACCACTGTGTGTTGTAAGCTGGGCTGATTGCGGTAGGCCTCAGTTGCATATAACCCCGAATAAGAAATATATATACTTATCAATTTAGGCGGTCTTGTCATTATCAAATGTTCTCAAAATTAGGTCCATATTTTAAAATATTTTTTTTCAAATTTAAAGTATTTTAATTGAATTTTTAAATTTAATAATATTTATATTATTAACATTTAGTTGGTTCAACGAGATTAAACATTATATTTGTTAAGTAAGATCAATGATTTAAATCTTATCGATGTAAAAGAAGTAAATTGGATTTGGATGGTTTTTCTATAGTGATCTATCAAAATAATTGATTAAAATAATCGATCAAATATTAGTAATTACACATAAAAAATTACTTCACCAGGTAATTTCATTAGCTTGGTTATCTACTTGAATATTAAATGCAACCAGAACTTAGCTCCATAATATGTAAATTGCCCCACACCTCTGATTAGACCAGACCCCGATGCTACCAACACACCGACCTAATCAACAGCCCTCCAACGAACTATTACATCCATATAGGGAATCCTATAATCAAAGCACACACACCTGCTATATCCATTCAACCGAAGATAGATTTGTACAGAACCAATACATGGTGCTTGTAGTACTCAACACTAATACATGCACTTTTTCACGACTACACAACCCCTCTATTCATATGGATTGCTCCCAACCTTGCAACTTGTTAGTACTATGCATTCAACCAACACTAGATAGGGTAGACGCACCTGATGGCTATGGGCGAAAACTGCTTGGTCTAAACAACGATGGAGCTTCACAGGCATTGCTCCAAGGAGAGAACTCACTATATATCTATACCGATTAGCACAAAATGACCAGTAAATTTACCATCATCGGTTCACCGATGCTCCCCTACCTTGGCCAATGTATTCACCTTAAACACCAAAGACACCTATAACAAACACATCCTTCTAACATCAGAATCGTATCAAACCAATTTGCAAAGAATTATGAGAAAAGGGACTTCAAAAACCAGATTGGTGTCTGCACCAGGCAGGGACTTCAAAAACCCAACCTTTGATTATCATCTGCAATTCTATTTATCATCAGAAACTTCATTAACTGCAGGAAAAGAAAAGGGATGAGAGATTAGAAAGAGAGAGAGAGAGAGAACCCAAGTTTCGTAGCGTCGCATGGACCGTGTAGCCTTTTTCAAGGAGCTTCTCAACGAGCCAAGAACCTAAATAGCCAGAACCTCCAGTAACGCAGCAGACCTTGCTTGCAGCTTGCTTCTCCATGGTAAAGATCTTTGATTTCCAGAGGTTCAGGCCTGAGTTATAATCATAGAAAAAGATGTGCAAAGTTATCTAAACGTCTTAAGAGTGGCAGAGAATAATCAGCTTTGAGACTATGTTTCGTCCCCTAGCGGATGTCAATGGACATAGTCAACGGTATGTTAAAAATAAGGTAAATACGATCAGATAGTCCCTTGACTATAGTATAATTTTTTAGCGGATAGTAATTCACACCTTCTCTCTCTAGCGGGTAGAAATTCCTTTTGGAGTTGCAGTAGCTTTTATCTCATATGGCCTACATCACCAAAAAGAAAAACAGCAATCAGTTAAATACCTTGCACAAGCTCTGCCCATATGGATAAAGTTTCATCTTCGGCAATGCAAGCAACAGCATCCCCATACTCAAGCGAGATCCAAGCAACCTTCACAATGCCACCATGCATCATGCAACCTAAATCAAGGAAATAAAACTAAAACATTTAAGCACAAAAAATCATTAATTAGAAAAAACAAATACAAAAGGAAAAAAATTGTCGTGCATGCCGTCCCTCTGTCGAGTGTCGCTATTGGTTTCTCCATGTCCGTACAATTGGTTACAGGTTTTAATTTGCTTCAAAATCCTGAACTCCGCGAAGGGCCAAGGCCGCCCAAGATTGTGGTTTTAAATATGAAGCTTGGATTCTATGGGGTATTGGTATTTGGGCCATTATTATAAACCTTTTTGACCCAAAATAATTTGTCATTTTCTTTTCTTTTCCTTTTCCGTATAATTATGGGTATATGATATATTGTCGTTTAACACAAATAGGTTGTGAAGGGTCATTATGAGGTTCACCTTCCTAACTTAATTTGTTTCATTTATAATTTCAGGATTCGAGTTCCTGATTTTACTTAAGAGATCTACTATCTCATCTCACTTCGACCAACTAATTGTTTATCCTTTTTCCCTTTCTAATACAACCAATGATTTTAAACATTCGAAATGTGAAAGATTATCTTTTGGTACGTTATTTATCGTCTTAATTAGTAAAAGGTAAAATTCATTTTTTAAATATAATAAAAAAAGAAATAAATGAATAACTTTTATTGGCCGAAACTATGGACGGCTAATAAGTTGTATCCTCATAAAACTTATCTGCTTTGGTAATCAATGAGTAAAATTAACTTTTATTTTCTCTAAAAGTAGAAATCAATCTTTTTTTCAGATAATCACCTAGCCATCAGGGAACTCTCAAATGTTTGATAGGTTGCTTTCCAAACTTAAAAGTAGTAGCTACTCATATATATCTTCTCCAACCTAGTCATATTCATGAATCAAATAATTAGTTGATAAATGGTAATACACAAGGATATGTAACTAGGGACGGAGTCAAAACTTAATTTTAACAGAGGTCAATTTGTTTTTAAAGAAATATAAATGATAACATCAAATTACACATTTGTTCTATATATCGTGTCCATGAATTAACAAGTATAAAATTAGAAATGAAATTAAAGTAAATAATAGAATGTGTCAAAGGCATAATTATCAAATAATCATAATAAAATACGTTGTCCCTTTAAATCTTGAAATGCATACATGAGTGATTGTATTAAATATACTAAAATTAAATATAAGATCAAACAACTCTAATTAATAAATATGGTATTGCTTAATTGCTTACCTTTAAAAAGTACACTTAATTAAATTTGAACCACTTCAGTAAATCTAATTTGATAACGCATACCAATCTTATATTATTGAATAACTTTTTAAAAAGAGAATTTTATTGTGATGCACAAATCAATTTATTTAAAAAAAATATTGTATGTGTTTATTTCAAGTTGTAGTTAGTGAATGCTTAGTATTCATTGAGAAACTCTTAGGTGGAGAGACTTTTGAGATTATGATATCGTATTAGAAAATATTTACAACCAACGTGCATGTGTAGTTGGGTTGAAGATTCATGTCTCTTGTATCGAAGAGTATTATAATATATTTTTCTCTTAACAAAACCCCACAAAAACAGAATTATTAATCGATCTGTATTGTATAAATAATTCTCCTGTGTTTTTATTTACACTTTTCTATTATTATTCTACAATTACAACTTAGTTAAGTATTGTTCGACAAAACTACAATGACAATAAATTTTATAAATGTGGTATCAACCAAAATAACCCAATGATTAAGTTCAGGGACGGATCGAGGGGATGAATAGGATAATCGCCTCCTAAAAATTTAAATTTATTATATATTTTAGATTTTTCTATGTATTTTTTTATTAAAAATTTATTTTTGTCCTCTTAGAATTTTATAAGTTCAAATTTGCTTGACTCGTATCTTCAAATTCACTCTATTAACATAAAATTCTACGTGTGTTCATTATTAATCTACCATATGGCTCTATTTAATTGTGCCAGACTGCCAGTTGTTTCATTTTCACATTTTTTTCCCAGTTAAAAAGTGAAAAAGATGTATATTTGAGTAGTTAATCTGTGTTAGCGTTACCCGTCAATGTTGAGATCAAGTGTGGAAATGGCTTAGGCCAACAGTTGGAAGCCTTTAACTTTTTGCGTCGTGAAAAAGTTGGAACCCACGGAAAAGCAAAAATCAACTCAGCCGATAGACAATGAACTGCCATTAAAATGACGGCACGTAAACCAAATAATGCCCAATATTTGACAAAATCAACGAGATAATGCGTTGAATTTTTTTTTCACGAGATAGTACTATCGTCAGATTAATTGTTCAGATGGGGTGATTTCTACAGTTCCCATGTAGGTCGTCAGGTGCTCCGGGCAACGTCTCTGTGAGATGGGATAGGTCTCCATGCACACCCAGCCAGGTTGCCATGCAGTCCCCATGGCCAGTTCCCCCATCCGCTAGCTCACTGTAAATATATTAAGCAACAACCAAAACAAAATATATTAAAGAAATAGCTCAAAGAAAAGAAAGAACTGAACAATAACAAGTAAATGCTACTAATCAAATGTTTATATTATATTCAGGCAAATTATAACAGAACAATGATTATTAGGATTAACAGGATGAGATATGAGATCTATAAAAACAAAGTCAGATTTATTCTAGATTGTATGGCGACTTTTGGGGATTGTATGGCGACCTTTAGGGACTACATGGCGACCTAGTAGGTCGCTGAGTGTGCATGACGACCTACCCCATCTCACCACAGGGACGTCGCCCGGGGCACCTGGCGACCTACATGGAGACTGTAGATATCACCTCATCTGGGTAATTAATCTGGCAAGACCAGTATCTCAAGAAAAAAAAATTCAACGCATTATCTCGTTGATTTTGCCCCCAATAATTATACGTAATTAAAAAAAATAAAGACAGCTTTATCTTTGCTTTTTTAATAGAAAATGGTAAGCTCCTTTAATGATAATAATTAAAGTAAATGATTTTCTAAAAAATAATTAAAGTAAAGAAGTATTGGTTAGTTTCCAAACCTTGTTTTGTTTGCCAATCTTGTAGGCAGATATAACAAAGGAAACGACTATGTGCGAATCATGCATGCTAAAGGGAGTGTCATCATGCTTTGGGGACAATTTTCTTAGATGAAATATTAATAGAAAATGATTTTATACTTGTTGAAGGATTCATTAGAGATTTAATAAAGTTTTTGATATGTCTGAAGAGATCAACTCGATATTTGGGTCAACTTTAATAAATGATTGAGTAAATAAACGATATTAGAATCGATACAAAGGGGAAAAAAAGATTATACTACCAGAAAACAAGAATAATGGAACATCTTGAACAGTAACTCCATACATAAAGCGAAGTGCACCAGCTTGATTGTAACCCTAAATGGATTCAGCTGATGATCATATATTTGAGACGTGAAAGGGTCAAAGTTGAAAACTTCAACTAAAAAAGTAACCTTAAAAGAGAAAGCATGCATCCTAGGAATACCGACTATTTGATCACATCGTCGTTATTCATATACATATATAATATTTCTGTATAATCGGCTTCTTTTATGCTTAGTATATCAAGCACATGAAATACCGACGGTAGAGGCAGCCGTGAATCTCTCCGATTCACTTCTCTCGATAACCAACGAGTTGATCTCCGGTGAAAGCCCTCCGAAATCGATCTCGGGAACCTCGGGGATCGTCGTCAGTGCACCCGTCTTGTCGTAGATCACGTAGTACTCCTCGAGTGATCTTTGTTTCAGCCACAAAACCGAATGGCTCGAGCTTTGTCTGGACTTGAACATGAATTTGAAGAGTTTAACGATGGAGCGGGAGAATTTGGAAGGCTGCTTCTTGGAAACGGGTGGAGGAAGGGTAGTCGAGTACTCAAATGGAGGATGAGCTCCGGTGGTGTCGACGATGAATTCAGGCATGGACATGGTTCGTTAATGGAAAGCTGAGTTGAGTTGGCGTTTGAAAGATTTGAGTTCTAACGAGTCATAAGGAGTGTTTCCGTTGAACCGAGTTGAACGAAGGCCTTTTATATATGGGAAGATTTGAGATAAGAATTTACCATAAAAAATCCAAAAGATGGAAAAGAAAGGAGGTCGTTATAGCGCTCACGGTCTCTTCATTACGGACCATTCAATATGGGAGATTTTTTTCCTTTTATTTTATACATCTATTTTTGTTGCATTTTGCATGGTGAAGTAAAACAAAATAATATATATTTAATTATGGGATTGCTTCAGACTTGTTTAATGCTCTGTTCATATGATTTAATCAATGTAACATTGCTGCCTTCAATTTCGGTCCCATGCTACGCCTGATGAAGCATTCCACAATATAAATGTGAACATTTCAGCTGGTTAAACTATGGGATTGCTTCAGACTTGTTTAATGCTCTGTTCATATGATTTAATCAACCACATAACTGCTAAAAAGCTTGAAATTGGTGGCATCAAGAACCAACTTCCTGATCCAGGAGAAAGCGCCCATGATTTTGACCCCGGTGAAGACGACCATGATAAACAGATTGAACCAGTAGGTTGAGGAGGATTTCGAGCGCTTGTAGGTCATGTTGTAGAGAAGCATAAGGAGGACAAAATCTGGAGGGATAAAGCCAATGGAGCCTATTACGCCATTGATGTAACCGAAAAAAGGAAGCATTGCAGCTATAAACCCACTGCATATGACGTACAGAGTCCGAAGAATTAGCCTGGGGATAAGATTCCTCTTTGAAAACATCCCTTGGTTTACATCAGCTGATTGCTGTTCCATGAGCTCATATGCAACTTGAGAATAAAGCTGTGTTACATATATTGGAGAAAATGTAAATGGAAAACACAACTCGGATCATGCAATCTCCTTTTGTTTTGAGAATAATAATGTCATACCAGGCCAATCGCTGCACAAGAATGAAACTAACTGCAAGGCCAATAACCATTGTTGGGGCCAATGATGGTCCGTCATCAGGCATTAGACTCTTGAGAATGTTTGAACTTGATTTGTTTCCAAAAGCCCAGTATCCAGAAGCTGAAGTTGCGTAGAAAGTAACAAAAATTACACTTTAACACAGCAAGAGTCCTTAAACATCTTCCCTGTAGCAGGTGGAGCCAGTGTTGCCATTACCAGAGACAATCTCGTTGAAACGGAAAACAAAGAAGCATCTGTCGAAGAACGATAGTTCGAATTCGATGTTCAGAAATTTGAAATGAACCTGTATTTCCGGAAGTATCCCGTTCCCGAAAATGCCAGCTATTATGGAGATAGAAGTGAAGGCATTAAGCATCCGTGATGACTATTAGTTTCCAAAGAATAGTCTCTGCGAGGGCATTTTTAGACAGACCTGCAGCACTAGTAGAAGTTGTTTCGAGTCCGAAAATGGTTCCAACACAAGAAAACTGAGATTCAGCTATATATGATCTTCAAACAACATGATTAAAAGATGGAACCAATGGATCAAACCCAACCTGTTCATGTATGATTATTCCATATTACCCGCATGGATACAAGCACCAACCACAAGGGATGTGTAGCCCAAGCTGAGAACGAGAGAAGCAAAATTGAGGTGTCTGAGGGAATGGAATGATGGCATCTGAGAGAGAACTATCATCACCCCTGTTACTATTGCTATGAACCCATACAGTTTCAACGATCCCTTGGGGGAAAGGTTCGAATACATGATCTGAACACGAAAACGACATCGAGATAAAGCGAATTAGAGAAACAATTCAGTGTTTCTGTAAAACAAATATGACATATATGTATGTACGTACGTACGTAGGTATGTATATATACCTGGAGGCATTCCCCTGCAAGCAAAATTGCTCCTATTCCAACCCCAGTGTTAATGGCTGTTTGAATAGATATCACAAAATAAAACATCCATTCTGATCCTGCGTAATCCTACTTAGATAGCTTCTTTCGTACAAAATACTGTTATATTTAAATATTTGGGCTGTCTTGATAAAAGGGCATATCTTTTTCTATAACTCATGCCCGATTTATAGTTTTATATTTAGAGTTTGTAATTGTTTATTTCAATATATTTTTTAAGATTTAAAAGGATAGAAGAAATAAAATAAAATAATTAAAATAATTTATGTAAACTTAAGCATTAATATTTGTTTGTATATTTTGTTATATATGTCTATTTAATTATATTTTATTAGTATTTTTGTTCTACTTTGATTTTAATTATTTTTCTCTTGTCAATATTTATGTTTATTTATTTATTAACTAAATAAATTAAAAATTTTAAAAGCAAACTATTTATTATTTTAGACAATGATATTTTTAAAGAGACTAATCTACACTTTTACTTACTGCCGATCTATCCAAACTCGATTTCTTTGGTGAATCTTTTTAGTGTTTTGAATAATATATTTAAAGAGTTTACTCAAGACCACCAGTCGAATAAATATCCATATCCAACATTAAAAAAAATATTCTTTCACAGTTTCACTTGATAATTTATCTAAAGTGATTGGTTTCATATTAGTACATGAGATAATTGAATATTTTATATATAGTCCTAAATGGTTATTATAAATATTATTACTATTTGAAACTTAAAAACAAACTATTGCTACTTAATATAATCAATCTTATATTAATTAGTACAAACTTATTAAAAATAAAATTAAAAATGTCCAGCGTTGGCGGGGTATTAAAGCTAGAAAAGGTAATAATTGAACCCTAAAATTGTTCATTAAGGCAACACGTGTAATATTAATTATACCACCACACCCCGAAACCATCTCTATCTGGTTTAACGATTCAACCTTGAAATAAAATGTAAATGATGATGATGATGATGATGGGGTTGTTATTGTTTACCTAGAACATCGGAGGCCAGTTCTCGGAAGCGTATGTGCCAGCGACCAGCTTCTTCACAGTGGTCCAGCACCAACGAGTTGCAGATAGTTATTTGCCAAATTCGGAAAGTGCGAACTTTGGCTATCGGAGGTGGCATTCTTGGGTCATGTCGTTTCAGTCGATGGCATCAGAGTCGAACCGCAGAAAATTCAGACTAAAGTTGAGTGGGAGCCCCCTAAAAATGTGTCAGAGGTGAGTATTTTCCTAGGGTTAGCCGGATACTATCATCGGTTTGTTCAGGGTTTCTCAATGATATCATCTTTGTTAACCAAACTGCTTCAGAATAGAGTTCCCTTTGTTTGGGATAAAAGGCGATAGAAGAGCTTCGAGTAGTTAAAGGTCATCTTGACCCAAGCCCTATTGTTGACCCAACCAGAGTCGGGTAAGGACTTCATAGTTTTCAGTGATTATTCTTTGAATGGACTTAGATGCGTCTTAATGCAAGAGGGTAAAGTTATAGCTTACATGTCCCGTCAACTTAAGCCTCATGAGCGTAATTACCCTACCAATGACCTTGAAATAGCACAAGTAGTGTTCGCTTTGAAGATTTGGTGACACTATCTTTTTGGTGAGAAGTATCATATCTTCACAGATCATAAGAGCCTCAAATACCTTGTCTCTCAGAAGGAGTTGATCCTTAGACAGCGCAGATGGATTGAATTGCTTAAGGACTATGACTGTGTGATAGATTATTATCCGGGAAAGGCGAATGTGGTGGCAGACGCGTTGAGCAGAAAATCAATGACTGAGTTACGAGCCCTCCTAGCACGTTTGAGTTTATCCAGTGATAATGGACTACTAGTCAAGTTACGAGTCGAGCCAGAGTTGGTAAGTAAAGTCAAGAGGTTACAGAGTTTAGATGATCGATTGAGAAGTCGGATCGAGTAAGTTCGCCATGGCGAGGCCTCAAGTTTTAAGCTTCTAGATAGAGATGTGTTATACTTCAGGGGTCAGTTGTGCATACCCACAGGAACTCAGTTACGCAGTAAGATACTCCACGAAGCACACTGCATTCCACTCTCCGTACACCTAGGCAGTAACAAGATATACCAGGAGTTTCGCAGATTATTCTATTAGTCGGGCATGAAAAGGGAAGTATCGAAGTTTATCGCTAGATGTCTAGTGTGTCAGCAGGTTAAGGCGGAACACCAGGTTGCCTTAGGTTTGCTTCAGCACATTTAGATACCTTAGTGGAAATGAGACAGGGTGACCATGGACTTTGTGACCGGGTTACCAATGACCAGACAGAGACATGACGCAGTTTGGGTCACAGTAGATCAAATCAGTTCATTTCCTCCCAGTTAGGATGAACTATCCTTAGAGAGGTTAGATCAGTTGTATATCTATGAGATAGTGATGTTACACGGTGTACTAACTTCCATCATTTCAAACAGGGATCCTCGTTTCACTTCTTGCTTCTGGGAACCTCTTCATAAGTTCCTGGCACTCGACTACACTTCAGCACAACTTTTCATCCTCAGACAGATGGCCAATCAAAATGAGTTATCCAGATTCTTGAGGGCATGCTCAGGTGTACTATCATCGATCTAGAGGGTAGTTAGGATGACCACTTGTCATTAGTGGAGTTTACCTACAACAACAGTTTCCAATCGAGCATTCAGATGGCTCCAACCGAGGCCCTATATAGGCATAAGTGTAGGACTCTACTTTGTTGGACTAAGCTTAGTAAGGGTAAGATTGTAGGTCTAGACTTAATAAGAGAGACCGAGGAAAAGGTTCGATTGATTCAGAACCGACTCAAGGAAGTTTCAGATAGACATAACTCTTATGTAGATTTGAAGCGTAAGGATATCAAGTTCGTAGTTGGGGACAAGCTATTCCTTAAGGTTTCCCCTTGTAAGAAGGTGCTCTGCTTCGGGCGCAAGCGCAAGTTGACTCATCATTTCATATGACCTTACGAGGTGCTTGAAAGAATTGGACCAGTAGCTTACAAACTAGCTTTATCACCAGAGTTGGAATACATTCACAATGTGTTCCATGTATATGTGCTCAGAAGATATCACCTCGACCCTTTGCATATTATTTCTTTAGAGTAGATTGAGGTCAGCTCGGATATGACCTATTCAGAAGAACCAGTCAGAATCTTGGTGAACGAAGTGAATGAGTTAAAGAACAAGAGGATTCCTTTGGTGAAAGTGATATGGAGGAACCATGGCGTTGAGGAAGCGACGTGGGAAATAGATGAGGACATAAAGCATCAGTATCCTCACCTCTTCTACCCAGGTAAATTTTGAGGACGAAATTTTATTTAGGAGGGGAGAGTTGTAATGCTTTGAATCCCTGGTTAGAAGTATTGGGCTAACCCAAGATGGGCCTTGGTTTAATTCCTTAGCTTGTAGAAAGTCTTGACCCAAATTAAAGAGGATTTGGGCTTGAGGTAAGCCCAATGGTGAATAAAAAGGGTGTTTTTAATATGCAGTCAGAATTGGAGGGACAAAAGAAACAATTTTACCCTTGTGCAAAAATAAGGCTGAAATCCTTAATTGCTTGATGATATCACGTCTGATACACCATCTTTTTCTCAACTCTTCTTTGTCTCTTCTTCCTATTCAAATCTTCGTCTTCATAACTATTTCTTCCTCTCCAATAACCAAGTAAAGGTAGAAACTTGGTATTCTTGCAACCCTAGTTCAACAACCTAAAGGTAAGAATCATGATCCTTGTATCCTAAGCTTTGTATCAAGCTCTCAAGACACCCATTTCACCATATCAAAAATTAGTAACCTTTGCATTTGGTTTTGTTTAGTGCAAGAGGTTGGAGAAGGCTCCAAAGCTAAGGAGAAGGAAAAGCTTACTTTGGGCTGAGTCTTTAACGTTTCCAGCAGTATAACATCAAAGGTAGCTCACTCTTGGCTCAACTATACCATATATAAGTCATTTAGATGAAATGTAGTAAGTTGCATAAACTTGAAGCATTCTCATGGTAGATTTCATGTTTTAGAGTTATAAAACATGTTTAAAGTCTTATTTATGCTCCTTTGTATCTTCATAAAACATTAATAATGTTTAGGGACCTCACTAAGGTCTTTCAGATAGTAGAATAGGAGTTTTTGCACCTATTTTATGCTCTCTGCAGGTTGAGTTTTGATACTATAGGGATAGTATCAAAACTTGTTCTTCTTCTCGGGCAAACTCGTTAGTTTCTAGTCAAGAGTATCGATACTCTTTCAAGAGTATCGATACTTTGGGTCATAGTTTCGAAACTCCCAAAAAGTATCGAAACTAGGAAGTTCAAAATGTTTAAAAGTATCGATACTTGTAGAAAGTATCGAAACTTTTTAATGAGTATCGATACTCTTGGGCTAGTATCGTTACTTTCAGTCTGTTTTGGACAAAAAAGCCAATTTTAAGGGAATTAGACTCGAGTTACCCAATACCTCAATATCCTTAAATAAGACTTCAAGCGATAACAATAATTAATATCAGAACAATAGAAACAAAAATAGCTAGGTTTACATAAAACTAGCATTGTTTGACGATCAGGGAAACAATCAGGACACTCGAGTTCCTTTTAACAGAAATACGACTGTCAGTGGATCCAAGTCAGTGCCACGGCACTACAGTAACCGACTAGGCAGCACCCAAGACTCGATGGTACCCGATAGTGCTTCGGTAGTGCTAGAGGGGTACTTGAGCTTCAAGGTGCAGAATCCCTCAGTCGCACCATTATGTCAGCCACAGATTAGCAGTCCAGCAGTTGTATACTCAGACTTGTGCCACTTGCCATTTCATTTAGTGAATGCATATAGCATGTACAGTTTTTGGTGAGGCACTGAGCTTGTAAGCTCAGCGTTCGAAATGTGTTTTCGTGCGCATGTTCTTAGGGGCAGACTGCAGGGAGCTATCGTAATCAGATATTCCAGTGCAGCAGAACAGATTTCCAGAGACCTTTCAGAGTACGTCTTGAGTCATCATTAGAGGACATGTACTGTTATGGGCCTTGTTATGTATTCAGTCGTAACTCTTTTGAAACTTAGTATGTTGTGTTATTTTGAGGATGTATTTTGGGAGCTCTCTATTAATTGTAAACCCAGTTTATTACTATATTTTTATATTACATTACGGATGTATAAATTTCAGAGATTTACAAGTAGTTTTAAAAGAAAATTTTTGGGTCACTATTTCGGTAGTCTCATGTAACATTGTAATCCATAGATCTTCAGGTCTAACTGGATTAGGGTGTTACATGTGATGTTCTTTAAAGTTGCCACAATTATTATTTAAAGAGTAACTAATAATGGAGCCCTATCAAAAATGGCTAGCCCATGCTTGTGTTCTCCATAGGACGGATCCACCATGTTTTGTCCAACTAACAACTGATTGGGGAGTTAAATCCAAAACATGTACGTGTGTGAAGAAATGGATTTAAGCCATGTCTGGTTCAGTTTGGACTGGATAAGGCAATTCAACCCAAGAAAAATGGACCTTTTTTGCATGGATTAGATTTTTACAAAGTTGTCCTTGCAAAGGTAGCATCTATAATTTGTTTTTTCACAATATTAAAAAATTAGACTTAGATTTTCCTAAACTAAGGGTTTCCTAAATATTTAATCTATGTCTATATCTACAATATATAAAAAAAACACGAGTTAAAAATTTAAAAAAAATTAAATCAATTAAACTACTCTTTATTTTTAACATAATATTAATTTAATATTTAAAAAATAAAAAAAGACTAATTCTTTAAATAAATCATAATAATAATAACTTTAGATAGAAACTTGTGTAACAACATTTTCAATAACATGTAAAGTAAATATTTATTCAAAATTTTAATAATAATTAGATGGGTAGATAGACAATTCAATAAAACTCTTATGCAACACAAATGAATTGAACTCTTATATCAATGAATTCAAATTGTTATAGTTACATTAGTTAAAATTAATATTATTATTATATATAGTATTCATCAAGAACCTAGTTTGGGTTTTAGCAGTTTATCTGTAGGATGTGTATTGTCAATGGATTAAGAAAGTTTTAAACATGTATTACCTTATAATCATCTTAGACTATTAAAAAAATCACCCCAGATTACTCTATTATACTTTTCTTTTTATTTTCAAAAAAAACCTTTTTTAGTATAAAATATTTTATATTTATATTTTGAAAAGAAAAATAAAGGAGTTCATAAGTTTAGCACGTTTGCAAATATATAATATATATATATATATATATAGTTGTAAAGAATCTAGTTAAAAAAGTATAAAACTTTAGAATGAAAACAAATAAAAGATCCGATCTTATAAATGTACCTAAAAACTAACCTAACGTAAAATTTAAAGGGGGGGGGGACTATATAATGCCCAAAGCAAAAAGGAGAGAGATAATTGATTGATTCCCATTGCTGTTCTAATTAAAAATTTAGGAACTCATAGAGAGTGCGCATAGCAGGTGTCGGAAAATGGAGACAGACATTATGTGCTGGGTAAAGATTAGTGACTGGAAATGCAAACCAAGTGCAGAGCATGGGTGGCTGTAACTGCAAACTCACTTCATAATTGTGACCATTCCATCAAGTATCTGCAACCCAATTCATACATTTTATAGGGTGTTTGACTTTGTTAAATCTAGCATTGACTTGAAGATATTTTTGGGTTTCCCGTATCCGTGATCGTATTCTGTAGGATCTCAGTGCTTTTGGTCTCACATCAGTGTGTTGTCGGTAAGTGAAATAGACATCCCCTTTGCTACACCTCAACGGCCCTACCTGCCTGCCTGCCTGCTTTTCCACACACCACTTGCAACATTGCGTATGGCCCTCTCTTCACCCCCTTCAACTTGCGCATGGCTTATGGGCCTCTCGGATCATTTCGATTCACCGGGAACACACGCATACTATCTTTAAAAAGAAGGAAGAGACAAGTTTAGGATATGGTATTAAAGAAGACATTTTAATTCAAAGATACAAATACCCCATACATATTTCATGTGACCTCCTCACCCTCCGAACATCCTCTACACACCTTTGTACCTTTGTACTCAATTTGATAATACAATATTATTAAGATATATGTAGTTTATCCGTTTTGATTTGGGTGGAGAACTGTAGTTGGTGGAGAATCGATTCTTGATCGGTATTAAAGTCTTCGTTTCCATCAAAAGGTAGAAGACAATTGAATGAGGTAGGAGAATAAAAAGTTTCTATCCCTTCTTGCGATTTTGATTGAAAGGCTTCATAGTAACTCTTAGTGCTAGAATTGGAAATAAGATTATTATCGATTTAATTTTAATGGATCACATGAGCCTATCAAATGTCATGTAAAAAGACTATCATTTCTCAATAAATATTAAATATTCGAGTCTTTCATTTAAAGATACTTTTAAAAGATTTTAAAATTTTCTTAAAATGCATAAAAATCGAAAAATCGAAAATGTTCATAAATCCTCTTAATATCTAAGAAGCAAAAGAGATTTAGGGAGGTACAAGTATCTCAATCACCAACCGTATTCGTATATAACAGTAATAAAAAGGGGCCAATAAATGATGGGTTTGGCATGCTTTTGTGGATTCCATAATGAGCCACAAATACTTATCCAAAACGGAGGGTAAAAATCAAGAGGATGGGATGGGATGGGATGACCGCCGGGGAGCGTGGGACCACGACCAGATCACAGCCGTACCATTCAGAACAGAAAACAAAACAGTTATGGCTGAGCTGGATCAATTTGGTGGGGACCAAGGTTGGGGCTGCATGCAGCTGCTACTACTTGCACGACTTACACTGAAACGACGAGATTGGGAGGCCGCTAACCTGACAGTACGTGTACGGCCATGATTGAAAAGCCGTAAGCAGGACCTGCAGAATAACGAATAAGATCTTCTGGGTCTTTTTTTCTCAGGCCGAGTGAACAAATGGGTAAAGTTTTGGAATTTCGCGACTCTGCATGCACCCTTCGGTTGTGTGGTTGCCTTTCCCAGCCCTCTTATTTGCTCCAATCACCAAGAGGCACTCAAATTTGCTTTTTCCTTCTCTTCAAATTTATTTGCAATTTTTTTTTTGGTTCTTTTGAAAAGCTTTCACCTTCATTGATGAACAAAGGGTTAGGGGAGTTTTGGTATGTAAAATAAATGATCAGGCAATATGTATGATCCTGAGGGTACCAAACAAATTAAAAACCCACAAGACTTTAGAGTTTTTACTGTCTTTTATTTTACATCAGAAAGTAAGATCACAAAATAAAGAACCAAAGACATTTGGGGGATAGATAGTGCATTTGTCATGTTAGGAAGGTTGGGTCTGGCCGCAGTCAGGTGCGAGGCAGTGTGATGTCACTATTTCGGGATAACGATAATTTTTTATTTATTGAAATTCTTCAGCCTTTCGGGCAGCGATTAGCTAATGCTTTATGGGGTTCAGGTTCAGGCCATGGTGAATTTTTTTTTCTGAGTTTATGGGTTTATGATGTGCCAAAATCTTGTTCGTTTGTACCGCTCTCCAGCTAACCAAGGGACCACAATTTGCAATGAGACATTTCATTATTTTCATCAGACCGTCGAAACCTGGTTCATCGCTTGCATTTTACTCGACACATTCTTGCACTCGTAAATAGTGGATGTTATAATTCAGCAGACGCTAATATCTTACAATTCAAGCTTTTGACGTGTTATTCCAAGACCACGTTATGAACAGGTGTTGCCTGATGTGCTACATTTCACCTACAGTCAACACACTAAGAGAAAAAGGGGCCCCATAAACTGAAACACACCGACTGCCGCCACACTCGCCGGCCGCCGGACCTTTAACCTCCTCATGTGAGATTCTTTGATTTTTTTTTCTAACAAATCTGTCGCCTCAAGACAGAAAGTTAAATGTAGTATTGATTGGGGATTAGTGGGCAGTGGAAAGTCACGATCATATGATATGATATATTTGTGCTCTATATAAAACGTGGAAACAATGAATCCAAATCCAAAATCCTTTAATTTCTTCTTCATTTACCTCTTGCCCACCGTGTTCCACCACGTGCTTACCTAAATTTGATTTAGTACATGATTATTAGACCTACATTTTTTACAGGGAAGGTGAATTAATTACATGCACTGGGAAAGACAGTAAGAAGTTTAATACAAAACAGAGCAAAGAACAAGTAGCAGTCACCGTTACAGTGACGGAGCTGTTTAATATTCTTGCTAAGCTATTAGGGGAACTTTCATTAATAAAATTAATACTAGGAAATAATAATAGAAAAGTCGGTATTTTCAGTTCGGCCGATGCAAAACTTGCCGAGAAACCGGCAGTCGCATTACACGTGGAAAAACTAAGAGACACTCTCTCAAATAGCTAGCAGAGGATCCGACCCGAACAGATCCTCGATATCTTGGAAATGGTCATCAACATGATGGAAGCCACCAAATCCAAACTCGAAATCTACGTCCCCGAACTCATCATTCAAAAAGCTTTCGTGTAGACTTGTAGTATCGTCGAATAAATCGGGCACCGAACAGAACAAGTCACCGGGAAACAAAGAGGAATAGTCGGAGATAATTGGGAAGTTTTCTCCCGATAAGCAGCAAGAATCGTCGACGATATCCTGAGGTTCGCTTCCGGTATTGTGCGGTTCTTTAAAGCTTTGCGAGTCGACTTCGTCGACCGAAAGCGGGTGGGAGCAAAGAACGGAGGTTGGAGAGCAGGGATCAGTTTTATGAGATTCTTCCTCCGAGTTGTAATCTGAATTGGATAACGGTTTTTGGCTAGCTATATCTTGAATCGACCTGTTCTGTTGGGGAGTCGAAAAGTTGGTGAGCGCATCTGGTCCACGCAGATGGATAGCCGCGTTGTCATAAACCATTGCTGCCTCTTCGGCAGTGTTGTAGGTGCCTAACCAAAGCCGTACACGTCTTAGAGGGTCTCTAATCTCAGCCGCCCATTTTCCCCACGGTCGTTGCCTCACCCCTCTGAACTTCTTTCCCGCCGGCACCCTAGCCGGTGCTTTACCTTTACCCACAGCAACAGATGCTGGCCTTTTTCTACGAGCTCTAGACAACGATAACGATGATTTACTTCTGCCAACGACGTCGTTCTTAGTGGGAGATGATGACTCGATAGTTATTACGTTAATAAATTTCTTCACTCTGTTCCGGGAACAAACTCGGGTTCTTGGTTTTTCTTCTTCATCGCTAGAGGAATCAGTGGCGTCAGCATCAGTAACAGTAATCCGAACGATTCGAGGCTTCATTTCAGGCTGGTTTTCGACTCTGGCATTTAACAATGGTGAAAAGAGCTTGGTTTTGTTGCGGTGCTCTGCATATTTGATTGAAGGAACAGGGCAAGCATCCATTTTTCTCTCAATCTTCGTTTTGGGTTTTTTGGGTTCTCAGATTCTTTCACTTCTCATTGAGAGTGACAGTAGGTAGTGAAATAAAAAGAAGAGATTCCTTCAGAACAAGACACGAGGAGAATAAAGGGTTAAAAAGAAAAGAAAAACTGAAGAAAGAACACGTTAAAGAGAAGCTTGATATGGAGAGAAATCCAGCATTAGGCGGGGTTCAAAGGTATACCCAAAAGTTGATCAAAGGAAGATAAATTTCAAGTAAAGTTGTGAGAAAAAAGGAGAGGGGAGAAAAAGGAAAAGAATTTTTTGTTGGTGAAAGTTGTAGAAGAACAAAAGAGAAAAAGGAAGACACTGCAAAGCAAATATCTTCACCGGAAAAGGGACAGAGAATGTCCCCAAAAAACCACCGGACAGAGCTTTTCTCAGTCACTTAACAGAGTAAGAACTTAACCAGGCTTGCTCACTGATATTTCTCCGGAAAAAATCTCAGAGAAAGGAACGAAGGAAAATAAGAATTGAAGGAGAAGGAGAAGGAGAAGAGCGCTTTTGAAAGATAAGGAGAGAGTAAAGAGAGAAGACAATGGGGCAAAGTTTTGAAGTGAATACCGAAAGTTGAGCTATTTTATAGGATCCCATGCCAGCCGTAAAAAAAAGAAAAGAAAAAGTTTCAGTTTTTTGTTTTTACTAAAGGGATATCGACGATTTGAAATCCCGGCACCGGAGAGATATTTCACGATGCGCGGCATAATATGACAGACTGAGATATCGACACGCATAATGGTCCCCGGAAACGGGAAGATCCAAGGAGAATGGTGAACCCGCAAAAGATTAATTCTCGAAATCAGGGATTTTATGTCACGTGACACCGGACACTCGGGTCAGTCCCAAACTTTGACTGAAAAGAATATTAACAATTTGTTAATTAATGATTATCAACACCCCCATTAATTACCCATCCTTATCCCTAATTAATCTATTCTACAGTTACCCCCTTTTTAACACATTTTTAACCTTCCGTAGGCATTCTCGTCATTTACAGCAAGCCGTTATACAGCTGGTAAATTTACCATTTCACCATTTTTTGAATTTATATTTTACAGCTGGATCAACGTGGCAGGCAACCTCGAACTCGATGCTATTTCGTTTTCTCTTTGTCCTTTATTTCAATTTTTATTTCTTACCTATTTAATAACCGTAGGCTGGGCGCCGACTGTAAATAAAACTGCGGGGCTGTTTCGGTGTTTTGTTTCATGCAGGTTCAAGAGCAGAAATATTGACACGTGGCTTGTTATTAGAGCCAACAATCGGTTTTCCAAACTGGCGGTATAGGTGATGTCGTTGCACACCATATAAAGGCGGGATGATTAAAGTGGAGGGTTGCTACTGGAGTTTTGTATGACAAGAAAATGCCTCTAAAACGCAAGGGAAAATTTTATAGAATGGCAATAAGACCAGCGTTGCTGTATGGATAAAAATGTTGGGCAATCAAGAAGGATCACGAAAGGAGAATGGAGGCCGCTGAAATGAGAATGCTTCGAATAGGATGTCCTTGGGGGTGGTGCATGTATCCGAAAAATTGAGGGAATGAAGACTACGGTGGTTTGTGCATGTCCTTAGGCGACAACCGTTGGATGCGGTCAGAAGGGTAGAGTCGATTACAGTCGACGGTGCCAGAAAGAGATGACGACCAAGGAGGAAGTGGGTAGACTGCTTGATATCTGATTTGAAAGATTTATCCCTTACTGAGGACATGACCTCTGATAGGAAAGTATAAAGACTTAAGACTATGGTAGTCGAGTAGTGTAGGGTCAATAGCCATAGGGTGTAGCATCTCTATCTCTTTTTATATCATTGGAATTTATGAATGCTTAGAACTAGGGTAGCGGAGTAGTGTTACCTTAGTTTAGGTTTTAAATTCATTTTGACTTTATTCCTTCTTGTAGTTTAATATCGCTGACTTCAGTGTATCATTCTCTTCATGTTTTCTCTTTTCAAATTTAGTTGAGACTTACGTTTCTGTCTATATGTTATATTTTTAGGCATGAATTTATTTGCAATGATTACTTACCATTACAGACGCGTATATGAATGACTGCATATGAAGACTGTTCAACTATGTATTTATTTATTTATACATGCATTGTATTTTATCTTTATTTTTAATTTTCTGACTGTCGGAGATTTTCCACGGAAATTGCTCTCAACCTGATGTTGGGGGCAACCTACTAACCTACCTCCCCTTATCCCATTGCATATGGGAATAGGGTTTTGTTGTTGTTGTTGTAATCGGTTTTTTAAAATGTAAATATTACCTGTAAGATGGCATGGTCAAGTATTGTTGAACTCGACTCGATTCAAAAATTTTGAAATAAAGTTTAACTCGAAAACTTATGAGCGTAAAATTTTCACACTCAACTCGAACTCGAAACTATGAATTAAAGCTCGAAATGAAAAAAATATTAAACTTAACTCAATTGAAGCCTCAAACTCAAGCTCGAACTTAAACATCAAATACATGAAAATTTTGTACTGCATTTTTTAAAAAACCCAACACTAAATATTAATATTATTAAATAAATATTAATATTTTTTAAATAAAATAAATTATTAATATATCACATGTCCTTAAATTATAACCCTCATTCTAAATTAATCCTTAAACTTTTAAATATTATAATTTCATCCTCAAACTATGAAATTCATTCTAAATTGGTCCTCAAACTTTTTGAACATTCCAATTTCATCTCAAACGATACATATATACTAATCATGTCCCTTGTTAGTAAAATCGTCATGCCAAGTTATAATATTATACGTTTGAAAAATACAAAATTTAGGTTAAACTATGGTTGAAACTAATCACATATCTGGGTGGATTTGGGGATGAAATTTGAATATTCAAAAGTTTAGGACCAATTTAGAAAGAGGGTCATAGTTTAGGAATGAAATTAGAATATTCAAAAGTTTAAGGACTAATTTAGAATTGAGTCATAGTTTAAGGATGTAATTAGAATATTTAAAAGTTTAGGAATCAATTTAAAACAAGAGTCATAGTTTGGAGATATAGGACGCAATTAACTTTATTGGAAATTATCGGAAAAAAATCCAAACTAAAATAAATTTCATAAATTGAAAATTTAAAGTTAATAAAATACAATGTATTAACAGTAGTTTGGTACAATAAAAAATAATTTATTATTTTAACAGATTGTATAATAACTATTATTATTATTATTATTATTATTATTATTATTATTATTATTATTATTATTATTATTATTATTATCGGAACAAATGATTATTCTTTAAGTAAATTTTAAATAAAATTAATTAACTAATAAATATATATATATATATATATTGAAATTAATTGATTAATTAATAACCTGCGTTACCGAGGAACATTTACTAAGGTAGCTTAATTTTTTTAAACTGAAAAAATAGCAATAAAGAACTTGAAAAACAAGAACCGAAAGAAAAGAAAAACAGAAGAACAATCCATAAATGCCTTCATAGAGAAAAGTGTTCTGAGATCCAATTATTTGAAGAAGAAGAAGAAGTTTCGTTGATATTTGGAATGACAAGAATTAGAGGCAAAAAGACAAGCAAAACAAAGCACAAAAACGATGTAGCTTTCTCGGACAACGCCTCCTTAATTAAATTCGCCTCTAATAAATAGAACCAAGTACGTCAAATTCGACAATAATGCGTGGAGGAGTTCTTTGGCCCAAAGAATTATGTGTGTTTTTCTATTAATGATAAAAGGTTTTGCATGTTTGTTGTTTTATTGGGTCGACCTCAAACTCCGAAAATTAACCTTCGATTCCTGTTACGTTGAATGCACAAGTCAAATCATCATCCCCTAGATCTTGGATTCATTTAAGATATACAACATAATATAATATAATTCAATCAAAAGGTGTTATCTCAATCATTTGATATTGAACGCTCAATCACCATGTTGCATCTGTTGTGCTCTAACCCATGACTTCTAGTAACAATAATAGTTTTTTTAACCACTGAGATAAGTTGGTTCGTGCTTAAGTCCCATATTTTTATTGTTTGATAATCGCAATGTGTTTGATATAGATAGCTCCAAAAAAAGATAAAGAAGGGTTTAAATGTGATATTTAGTCAGATTTGTGTATTATAATTGTTGAGATGATTAAAGGGATGATTGTTATCCTTAGAGATTTTAGGTTTGAGCATCAGTGAGTGAAGGGTATTTAAACATTTATTCTCAAATGGTTGAGAGTTTCCAAAGCATATACTACCACTTGTAATCACTTTAGATTAATAAAAATTATCAAGACATATTGTCACCCTTGATTAAAAGTTTTAAATATCGGTTATGTTATATTAAGAATATTTTGGTTCATCATAAGGTTTGGATGATTTCATTATTAGAATTAGGGTAAAAGATATTACTTTATTGAGGTGGAATGATCTTGGGATCACTATAAAAAAAATAATGTTTAACATTAAATTAATTTTGTAACTATTTTATGTTTAGTCAAATGAATTATCTTAAATTATTTTTAGTTAAGAAATTAATTAATTAATTTTATAAAAAATTAAGTTGTTTTCAAAGTAAATTCTTCATCGGTTAAAAAGTAATATTCATTCTATTTTATTTCATTCTAATAATTATATTAAAAATATTAAAAAAATCAGAAACTTTTAGTCGGGTGAGTAAATAATGCTTAACTAAAAATAATTTTAAAAAAGTCTTAACTATATAAATTTTAATTTGATTATCAATCTTTAATCTTTTTAATCAAATACTTAATTATCTAAATGATATAAATCAACATTAGTAGTTAACAATCGGGGGCTTTGAATTTGAGGACTGTCTATCTCTGCGTGTTTTGTTACTCGAGAGAAACATTGATATCAGTCAACATCAAATTGGCTTTGCAATTGCAAAATAGACATATCACAGTCATGATTCATGACACTTGCTCACCACTCGAAATTTGAAAAACACGTGTTATAGAATAATAATGGCTTTCATAGGATAATGACGGTCCAAATTCAGTTTCTTTACCATTGATCAATATTGCTTGGTTAATTGCAATCTACTCAAACTAATGATTGCAGATATTTAGTAACGTACTGCATTATTATTCAACGTGGATCAGCAAAGTTAGAAGTTTTCACCAATCAAATCTTATTTCAAGGCTCAAAACGTAGGATGTTTCTTAATGTGATTGCTCGTGATGTAGACTCGAGCAATACTAGTAAGCTCGTATGTTTTGATAGGAGCTAAGATAACATACCAAATTAATTTCTTAAACTTTATGTTGACTTCTTAACACGGACAGTACATAATTAAAATTGGAAAGAATTATATAGTTAAGCTCGATTTAAACATGATATATATATATATATACCACGCTCGAATAGCATCATTAACGACATGGTTTTCAGAACCAGACCGGTTAACGAACCGACTATGCTACCGGTTCACTGGTTCAATCGGTCGAACCGGTCCGACCGGTCAGAAGAACCGGACGACGTCATAATTATTTAAAAAATTAAAAAAATACCAAATATATTTAATAAAAAATAATTTTTTATATCACAATTCATATTCAAAGCAAGTCATAACATATATAAGTTAAAAACCATAAAATCAAGTTAAACAAAATGATTCAAATTAGAGAAAATAACCTCAGTGACAAAAAATGCCTTGTAATATACGATTTTAACCAACTTATTTTGGATTTGCCAAAATGACCAACTAAATCTCAATGCGATCGATAATTCGCAACGCGATCTCCGATATTGCAAATCAGTTTTCAGATTCGCAACGCGAACTTCGACTATCGCAATGCGAGCTTGGACTATCGCAATGCGAATATGTAAATCGCAATGCGAACTTGGACTATCGCAATGCGAATATGTAAATCGCAATGCGATAGTCGACTATCGCAATGCGATTTACATATTCGTATTGCGATAGTCCAAAATCGCAACGACTGGTGGTATTGTATTTGTTTCTTAAGAATTTTCTCTAAAAAGATAGTATTAGCGCGTACGTGTCGAAGACACGTATTACCACGACCACGACCACGACCACGACCACGACCCGACCCGACCCGACCCGAGACGAGACGGCGGCAGCGCGCGAGAGTCTCCCTTGTTCTCTATCACTCAACAAGGAAGTGGGAAAGCCAAGCCTTAAATACTATTCCCAATAGTGTTTCCAATACTATGTGGGATTGAGCATTACCAACACTTGTTTCCAATACAATGTGATTATTCAGGAAACAATTAACAATCATGCACCTTAAAACAACTGAATCAGCAACCAATTGCATTAGTATTATACGATTAAATATGTCATAATTAAATGTCAATCTACAATCAATCGCGATTATTGCAATTTTAAGCAAAACATTCAAAAAATAATATCACTATTTAAGGCTCAATCCCACATAATATTGGGAACAAGTGTTGGTAATGCTCAATCCCACATAGTATTGGAAACACTATTGGGAATGGTATTTAAGGCTTGGCTTTCCCACTTCCTTGTTGAGTGATAGAGAACAAGGGGGACTCTCGCGCGCCGTAGCCGCCTCCGTCCGTCTCGTCTCGTCTCGGGTCGTGGTCGTGGTCGTGGTAATACGTGTCTTCGACATGTCCGCGCGAATATTATCTTTTTAGAGAAAATTCTTAAGAAACAAATGCAATACCGTCGTTGCGATTTTGGACTATCGCAACGAACTTGGAATAAATCGCAACGAATTTAGAATAAATCGCAACGCAAACTTCGACTATCGCAACGAATTTGGAATAAATCGCAACGCGAACTTCAACTATCGCAACGAACTTGGAATAAATCGCAACGCGAACTTGAACTATCACAATGCGAATATGTAAATTGCAATGCGATAGTCGAAGTTCGCGTTGCGAATCTGGAAACTGATTTGCGATACAGGAGATCGCGTTGCGAATTATCGATCGCATTGCGATTTAGTTGGTCATTTTGGCAAATCCAAAAAAAATTGATTAAAATCGTATATTATAAGGCATTTTTGGTCACTGGGGTTATTTTCTCTTCAAATTAACTACAACATAATATTTAAGGTAAAAACATATTAAATAATAACTATAATTATATAACTATAATTAAAAAATAAATTTGGGGCTAAAAAAATCATAACAAAATGATATTGTTTGGTTTAATTTTTTTTAAAAACAATCCCACATGGCTAAGAAACATAGAAGATCATCCCAACTAACTTCTATAAATAATAGAGATAATTTGGCATTCAAAATCATGGAGCTTTTTGGTAAGCATTGAGTGAACTATTATTTCACTTCAATTAAGCTCGAATTTTAGACTTCAATCAAGCTCGAATTTCAGACTTCAATCGAGCTTCTAAATTTTTTTGAGTTCAAGCCTTTCGAGTTCAAGTTTCAATATTATATTTCGAGTTCGAGTTAAACTTCATATTTTTTAGCTCGTCATTTTGAATCGAGTTGAGCTTACTTTTAAATTTTTCAAGTTCGAGTCGAGCTCAGCAATACTCGAGTTCAACTTAGCTCATTTAACAAACGATGTCGTTTGGTTTAATTTTTAAAAAAAAACAAAATTGCCGATTTTTTTTCGTTTTTCAGCCGATCCGGTTTGAACGGTTCAGCGGTCCTAACCGGTTCACTAGTAGCGGTTCAACCAATCTAGATTGAACCGGATTAGGCAACGGTTCCCGGTTGAACCGGCCGGCCGGTCCGGTTTTCAAAATAATGATTAACGATGAGTATCGCTGAGCACCATTAATTTAATTTATAAAAACTTAAATTTTAAAGGGCGCAACGTATAATTATAAAATTAGTTAAAATTTTAAAATAAAATTATTTAAAATAAAATATTAATTACATAATTTTTTAACTATAAAAAAATTATAATTTAATCAAACAAAACATGTTTAGCTTGTTTTTGTATTTAGGTTTGTGGGATGAATGTCAGCTCTCTGCCGCCCGGAGGGGCGGCGATTCCCGTGGTCGTCCCGCATTCTCTAGAAAGGCTGGGTTCACCGCTGGCAGTTGATTCGCAACCGGGCTTGAAAAAGAATAAGACTGCGCATGTGGTTAGTGGAAGCATCGAGCCGTTGTCAAAGAAGTTGCATGGAAACGAGGGTTCCTCACTTGCAGGTTTAGATACTGTTATGGGGGATGTAACAGAGGGTGGGGCATCGTCTGATTCAGACCGGTTGCCGCCGCAAGTCATGAACCAGAATGTTGTGAGCAAATCCTATGCGGCCATGGTGACTGGGGATGCATTGGCGAATCAGCCTCATTTTCCGGAGTTGCCTGAGGAGGATATTATTATTCAGGAGGGAGACGTTACTGTGGATCGAAGTGGACCGTACCCCAGAATTCATTTTTCGGATCGGTTGCACGATGCAATTGATCAGAATATGAGTAAATCTATAATCGTTAGGCTGTTGGGGAAGTCGATAGGATACAAAGTCTTGTGGAACAAGATCACAACGTTGTGGCAACCGCAAGGACGGTTTCATCTTATTGACTGAGATAACGACTATTACCTGGTTCGATTTGAAGTGGAAAGGGATTACACTAGAGCTCTCACGGAGGGTCCCTGAGTGATTTTCCGTAGCTACTTGACGGTTCAGCCATGGAGCCGTGGGTTTTCTACGGAAGAAAATCATCCGTCCCAAATAATCGTTTGGGTTCGCCTGTCGAAGCTCCCTTATCGTTGCTATTCAAAGACGCTATTCCGATTGTTAGCTGATGAGATCGGCAAGGTCATAAAGATTGATTACAAATTTACAATACCAGAGCGGGTGAACGAGGGAAGTTTGCAAGGCTTGCAGTTGCTGTGGATTTAACAAAGCCTCTACTTCCATGTATCGAGATAGATGGTTTCGTGTAAAGGCTAGAGTACGAGGGATTGGAGAACATTTGCTTCCAATGTGGAGTGTATGGGCACACTATGTCTCAATGCATACAACAGCGGGAAACAACGGGTATACCAAGTTCAATGGAAGTTAATGGAGGGGATAAAGGTATTGTTACTGCAAACGTGCGGGGAGATTTATACGGCCCTTGGATGATCGCTCCTGGCCGTAAACTTAGAGTGAACTCGGATAAGAGCAAGGCAGCTAATCCTCAAAAGTCTGCAGCTGTGGAAAGTAAGTCAAGGTTCGAAGTGCTCCAGTCTTTGGATATGGAGGGGAAGAGTCGGGCACAACCAGCTTTGGGGGTCGCAACAGAACAGCCTGCCGGGAAAACTCTTGGCCTTTCACGAATTTCCAGAAAGTACCAGGGTGGCAACCTCAAACAAGGGTCCGACCAAGCAAGGTAATGGCTCACGTAACACATCAAACAATGATAACCTACCCACTAAAAGTCCAGAGAGCTCCAGGAAACCGCTGAGAGAAGTTACCAACAGGAGCCACGTGAATGATGGCCAGCTTGGGCAAATAAATATTGTACCTTCCGTTGGAGGGAAAGATCCTCAAGTGTCGATATCCAAGGTGACTATAAGGGATGGAAATCATACGACAATCAGAATCGACTAAGGTAATTCAGAGAAAAGAGCCGGGATTCGCAAAAGGGTGGCTTCGCTCAAGGCAACTTCCGGTATGGGAAGTAAAGAGGGTAATTCAAGAGGATTGCGGGTTAAGAAGAAGATGACACACAGCTCCTAATCGACCGCTTCTATCGGAATGGGTTCAATCAGTAACTAATTCGGTGGATAGTTTGGTCAATGGAGGCAGAAACATTATTCCTCAGGTTGAGGATTTCGAACAGTGCATGGAAGATACTGATGTTGGGGTAACGGATCCTTTGGAGTCATCGCGAGACAGGCTGGGGACTTTCAACCCTGACTTTCGTTATTTTATCTATGGTTACGATTATGATTTGGAATAGTCAGGGCGTTGCTAGCTCTACATACCGGAGGTAATTTAGACAGATTGTGGGGAATTTTCACCCATCGATGGTAGCTTTACTTGAAACTTGGGTAAGCAGGAGGAAGGCGGATGATGTTATTCGACACTTGGGGTTTAAAAATTCTTTTCGTATTGAGGCACGAGGATTTAGTGGTGGGATATGGCTCTTATGGAGGTCGAACAATTGAGGTACTTAAAATTTCAATCAATTTCTTCATATTCTGATCAATGAGCCAGTGTTAGGTTCTGGAATGTTTGTTACTGTGGTGTATGCCAGCCCTAATATTTCCATTAGGAAAGACCTTTGGGAACACCTTGCAGATTTAGATCCCGGGGCTAATCAGCCTTGGATCTGGGGGTCCTATGGATCTCCGTTTACGTGGTCAAGGGGTTCTCTGCACCAGCGTCTTGATCGCTGCCTAACTAATGACGGGTGGCTAAGATATTTTCCGGACACGATAGTTCATCACCTGGATAAGATGGGGTCATCATAGGCCTCCCTTGATTTGCCTCCGATCAGCTCCTGCCCGTAATTCCCTCCCTCCATTCCATTTTCTAGCGGTTTGGCAAGGTCACCGTGGCTTTAAGGAGCTACTCACGGATTAGTGGAATGTAGAGCATGATGTGAGACAGAACCTTGAAAGTCTTCGTGTTGCTTTTACTGCAAGGAATAAGGAAGTTTTTGGCGACATTGTGAAGCGTAAGAGACGGCTTATAGCAAGACTTCGGGGTATTGACAAAACTCTCTCGAGACATCATATGCAGCATCTGGTGGACCTTGAGAGTAGGCTTCGCATTGAGCTGGAGCTGGTTCTTGAGCAAGAAGAAAATATGTGGAGGCAAAAGGCAAAATGTGACTGGATTATGGATGGAGATAGGAACACTAAATACTATCATGCCTGTGCCAAAAATTGGAGAAGGAATACTGTTGTGTCGCGCAAATATCCAAATGATGAGTGGTGTTTTGATCAATCGAGATTACGACAGGGAGCGGCTGACTTCTACCGAGAATTGTTTACTTCTCAAGGTACAAGGGGTGAGATGAATAGCAACATGGGTTGTTTCTTCAAATTTCCGCAGCACTAGATCGCATCCCTTTCCAGAGGGCTTCTCGACGAGGAGATTAAGGAGGCGTTGTTTGGTATGCTGGCTGATAAAGCATCTGGAGTCGACAGATTCCATGCTGCATTATTCCAAAATAATTGGGAAATAGTTAGACCGGGGATTTGTAATTTTCTTCGAGATTGTTTCGAATGGGGTGAGATTCCCGAGGACATCAACTGCACCCTCTTTTTCTTATCCCTAAGGTTAGGGAATACAATCAAGCACCATCGGTGGTTTAAATGGATAGACTGGAGGGAAATGAATGGTGACTAGAAACACTCCACCGGCATATGGACTGTCCGGAGGGCCCATAACAGTTGCTTGCCAATGAAACATTTCTTCAGCAACAGGACCTGATTCCATCAATTATAAAAAGAGGTAAAACAAAAGTTAGATGGAATATCAGATCTGCAAACGACATAATCAAAATATTTTCCTAATAAAATCTCTCATTTGTCTTCAGAAAATGACATGTTGACTCCTAAATTATTTTAGAAAATTAACAGAAATGGTGATGCAATGCTGAGTTCTTACATGGTCATAATGCAACACTCGGAAGGCCAGAAAAATTCTTCGGCAAAACATGCTAACCATTTCCAAACAACTTGAATTAGAGTATAACTAATTCGAATGAAAGCCTACCTAATAAAAAAAAACGGATATGAACAGTTTGAAGCAATGAAATCATCATGGTCAAAAGTATACTCCCAATAATAAGTATAAATCCATTACATACAGCTCATAATTCAAGCAAGCAACAATAATTATCTAATTTAATGATTTAGACAATAAAACAGATAGCATACATCTAAAAACACCATTAAAAACGAAGACGAAAGTTTCCTGTAAACAAATAAAAGAATGAAGAGAAAAAGCACAAGTAATAAACAAACCGAGGCGCGGAGCAGAGAAGAGAGAGAGAGAATAATCGAACCCGCGTTGCAAGAGGTAGGAGGATCCTTCTGGAGATCCTTCAAGATCCGCTTTGAAGCCATCACCTGAAACCCTAAAACAAACAAATTTTTATTTAATTAAAAGAAAAAAGAAAGAAATTCCAACCTAGATCGCTTTCGCTTCAACGAAGGTAGATTGAAAAACTTTGAAATTGAAGAGGTAATTGGAGGGAAATAAGTACCTGCGAGATCCTCCTGTCCTGTGCTGTCGTTGGCTATAGTCGCTGAAAATAGCAGAAGAAAAAGCAACCAAGTAAAAATAATTTCCTTAAAAACAAAGGCGTAATACCAATATATGTCCTTAACATTCAACTGACTAATCATTTTAGACCTTGTTTTTTTTCAAAATTTAGCCCTCATCATTTTAATTTTAAAATCTTAATATATATTTTGTCAGATTCCAATAACAACCATCAGAGTGGCGGAGCGGAAGCGTGGTGGGCCCATAACCCACAGGTCCCAGGATCGAAACCTGGCTCTGATAATACCTTTTTTGCATCGTTTCTCCAGATCATGATCAAATGCATAAAGAAAAGGCTAAATAACACCCATTTTAATCACTCCTTTTTGCAACATTGTCAATTTTGATTACCAGAGTCCATTACACATACCTTTTGTAGTTTTTTTAAAAAAACAACCAAGGGTTTTACAGTTCTACTATGGACAAACACAAACAGATCTCTAACTTCCAGGAATTTACAGTTCTATGATCACTTGGGAGGCACAGACAGGGATCAGGTCTCTTATTATTAGCTTAGCATCATATAAATAATTGAATACAAAGCACCAGATTCTTTTCTTCTGGTTGAACCAAGGGTTTTTTTATTTGTATCATTCGCCGTCCTTAACTTGAAGGGACAACAGAGAGCTCCAGACGGCCGGTCCATTCCTCGCCTGTCTTCAATGTTATTGGTTTTTCAACTGCTGCCCCATTGACACAAAGCATCTGTTTGTATTCCTCATCCCCAAAATCAACTATGGCTTTGGATTTCTTCACCCATGGATTCCAGACCCCTGAAGAAACGCAAAAGAGCTTAACATCAAGGCCGGCGTTTTTGGTTCTCCTGGGCGGATGTCATTCATTAACACATGTTTAGATTGAATCAAAGAGGTTTCAGAAACTTACCAACGTCGGGAAGGCCTTCTTTCCGTATAAAAAAGGCCCGTTTTCTTTCGTGGTCGAATATCGCTATGACATCTCTTGAGCCAAGATAAACTCTATCGACCTGCAATTTGGAACGCAATAATTAAGGCTTAAACATCTACTCCATCTACCTGCAAAATAGTTTATCAACTGAACCAGAATGCTTTGAGGGTTCCGAGACATTCAAAGGAGGGCCTAAGCTTTACCTCGGATTCAAATGTTAATGCATCTCCTTGTTCCGTGAACCGCTCCCTTTGGCATAGGTTGTCAAGGTAGTCAAGAGTCTCCAATCCCTCTACCCTCACTTCACTGTTAATTAGCATACAAGAAAGAATATCCATTAATGTCTAGAGCTTAATGTTTACCATGATCGAGCGCGCTTTACTTTCATTACCATGAGTACAATTCGAGGAGTAATGGTCAAAGGACTTGAAAGATGGAAATATATGTACCTGATATCAGAGATGGAGAAATATGTGTGATAAGCAATTGAGAAACTAAAAGGCTTGCAATTGATATTCCTGATGCGTGATATCAAGCTTAGATTTCCATCTGCTGTCAAATATACTCGAAGACGAAATTCGAAACTGGAAGGGCATAAACCAGTGATCAATATACATACATAATTACAAATAAACAAGTTTCATAGCGGAAGATAACTCTTCCTAATCTTATATAGGCCTCACCTGTGTGGCCAGATCTTCAAATCATCTTCCAATGGCTTTAGCAGTAAATCGATGAAGGCCTTGCCATTGTTGTCATTTGGATGCAAAGGCGGCGGATTCTCATCAATGATCCAAGTCCTGTTCCGGGCAAACCCGTGTTGCTCGAGTGATCCTCGCTGACCAAACTAACAAATTCAAAAGAAAATACATAACCAGATGCATACAGACAGAGAGAAAACTGATGCATATAAGCATTGAATCCTATATACCTGTGGGAAACATATAGGTATCCCTCCTCGAACCGCATACGGTGGCTTTAAAATTGCCTGCAACACACAAAAATTGGCTCAGATGACAATACAAATGCTATGGCTTAAGACTGCAGATTTGAATGTCACCTTGCTACTTGTGAATAGCAATTCTTCACCTCGGTCGGTCCTCCATGAAAGAACCTGTCCTCCATGCAAGCTAACCTGAATAGATTGTAGGAAAAATATTACTATTTAACCCCAAATTACAGTTTGATTGAGAGGGTAAATGGCTACTACAATCAAGCATCTATTGAGTTTTAAACTGTTCTTCAACCTATTCAACTTGTTCAATATTCCAGATACCTTAAAAACAACGGAAAAGACTAGACAACAAGAGAGAATAAAGAATTAAAGATTACAAAGGTAAAAAGATTCTGACCCTTGCAGATGCTCCTCGAGGATTCTGAAGCAGAATCTGATCAGTTCCATTTCTATCCTTTGTGACTTCAACAGCTGGCCCAGAATTATTCATATTTAAAGACACGGTAAGGGCATGTAAGAGAAAACAAAAGTTCTTTATAAACAAGCAGTTGACAGTGCCCTTCACACTTTCTTGTGAGAAAACCCAAAATTTTCTCGTGAAAATTCCAACTGCAACGACCTCAAAACAGGCAAAAATTGAAGGAGAGGGAGAAAGTAAAAGGAAAGAAAAGAAAAGATAAGACCCTTGTCAAACAACTTCCCAGACGACCGAGCTGGCTTAAAACTTGAAAGAACGGACCAAAAACGGTTTCAAAGACGACCAAAATCAATGTTGGACTCGTTCTCTTCTCCAGACAAAAACAGTTTTGAAAAGTTTAGAGAAGTTTGAAAACAGGGAGGAGGGGGGTTCCAGTCAAGAACAAATGCCCTTTTTTGGGAGAAAGATTTGTCTGCAAATTTGAGTCTGACCTTTTCGTTTAATCTGAAGGCTCTGATTTGTGGAAGAGATCGTATGGGTCATGCTGGGGAAGGCGACTACCTCGTTATTTAATTAGTATTAATGGGTATTTTTAAAGGTAAAAGATGGCTAAACTCACGATATAATGCCCTCAAAATAAATAATTCACGAAATAACGTTATCCCAACATTATTTGTTGAAATAGGGCGAAATCAACAGTGTGGCCGTAGGTCGCCATGCCTTCCGGGCGACCTACGACGTGGCTTGCTCTGCATGGGACATGCACAACCCAACCATAGGTCGCCATGCACTCCCAGCGACCTCCTAGGTCGCCATGCACGCCGGCGACCAAGGAGGTCGCCATGCACTCGGGGCGACCAAGGATTCATGCATGGGGAGATCGTGCCATGCACTCGGGGCTCGGTTCATGCATGGGGCACTCGAGGCGACCAAGGAACGGTTCATGCATGGGACACTCGGGGCCATGGAGTCCCGACAAGGTCGCGAGCAGGCGAGCATGCAGCAGGGCATGGATGGGCGTGCTCCTTTGGCGAGATGGGCGTGCATGGGCATGGAGGTCGTTGGCTGGTAGGTCGCAGGGCATGCATGGCGACCTACCAGGTCGCTGGGCGTGCATGGCGACCTGGTAGGTCGCCGGGCGTGCATGGCGACCTACCCCCGGTACTGTAGAGGACACCACTTGAGCAATTAATCTGACGATCCCACTATTTCGTGAAAAAAAAAATTTCAACGCACTATCAACGAGATTTTGCCGGTAAAAGATTTACGCCAAAGAGGCAAGGCAAACTTTTGGCTTGGATCGGTGGTGATGGCTTCCAGACATGATGTAGACTAATGCCTGAACCTACGATCCTAAATTTAACTGAATTAACGACCCACCAAGAGTATTAGTAAATAAAAATACTACATTAAAAGAAGGATCACTACCAAAAATAAGTTTTCAAGCTATATCATTTTCTCGAATATGTGTGTAAATTATTTTTGATTCATCTTAGTGTCTAACGTTTTCTCCGTTATTATTTTAGGTGTCTAACGTTTTTTACATTATCATTTTAGGTGTTCGGCCATTAACGCAAATAAAAAATTCCGTTAAGTGGCACGTGCCACATTATAAGAATTTTGAGAATTTTTATTTAAAATAAAAAACTAAAAATATATTTTTTTGAAAAAAAAAACTATTTTTTTAAATCGTAAAAAAAACTCAAAACTTTAATTTTAATCCCTTTGTCACCGCTGGCCACCATCAATCGGCCGAACACCCAACGACATATGACCGACCGACCACCCACGAACAAAACCCTATTACTTTCGCAACCGGTCGAACAACAAATCTCCCTAAATTATCATAATAATCAAATCCCTAACCATAATCCCAAATTTATTATTAAATTCAACCTAAAATATAATTAATTGAAGCATGAGGATGATGGGGAGAGCACCGACGAAGGGGAAGGGGAATGAGACGGGGTGGGGGTGGAATTGTGTAGGTTTTTTTTTTTAATTTAAAAAATATATTTTTAAAATAAAATTATCATAATATGACATGCGTCACTTAACGGGATTTTTAACTACGGTTAACGCCTGGGTACCTAAAATGGTAACAAAGAAAACGTTAGGCACTGAGATGAGTCAAAAAAATAATTTAGACACCTATTCAAAAAAATGTATAGTTGGAACACGAATTTTGGTAATTAATCCTTAAAGGAATAATAGAAGCTAGGAAAGGAAATATTTTTTATACAGTAAAACGTAATTATAATTTATAAATGATATACATCCCTATAAATGTAGTTGTTTAAAATTTTTTAGTCATTAATAATATACATCCCTATAAATGTAGTTGTTTAAATTTAATATTTTTAAAAAGAACACTCATTTTTTACACTGAAATCGTTCATCTATTCAAGTTTCCTTATTGTTAGGGTCGCATATAACCATATTAAGCGGATGTAACTGAAAGAATAAAACCATAGGGTTTTCTTTATTTCATTGCTCGCTTGTTTTCAACAAAATCATCATTAACGATAGTAAAAGTTTTGAAAGTTGAATCAAAACCAATCTTGAAATGGGTGGGTTAGGTTAGTCCAAGATAAGTTCTTTGTTTCTCTCTCTCTCTCTCTCTCTCTTTTATTACAGTGAAAACCAACGTTTGATGGATCGAATGGAATCAAAAGATGACATGCCTCACAGCAGTAGCCTAACGATGTATTGCATTGAAATTTCAAGTCTCTTTGCATAAAATTTCAAGTCTAGGGTCCATTATAGACTAAGCATAAAATTAAAAGACTACCCACGTACGCATCAAGTGGAGGATGGAAATTTATGAAAGACACTCAGACCCCACAGAGCGCACCATAAATAGGTGGCCAACGAAACCATAAAATCAAACACTCTCGAACATATGGACCGAGTCTAACCAGTGGGGCGTGTTGGGTTTTTTTTGACTTATCCTCTTGAAAAAGATGGAAACTGCCAAGACCTTGTTTGGCACGACTAACATTTACGTAAACCAATCCTTGTTTTTCTTTCTTCTCTTTTGGGTATGCGTTGTTGAAGGCTTCGTTGCTTCCATGAGATGGCATCCTTAGTTTGGAAAAAGTTCATTTACGTCGGATATTGAACTTGAGTTATCTGCTTGACAAACTACGTGTATACATTGCATTGTTAAACTCGTACAATCAGATCCATAAATAATTTTAAGGAGGGTAGGCACATATATGTTAACAACATAAATTTTTTAAATGGGATGGGTATAAATTAAATTTCAGGGCGGACACTATCCCTAAAATAAGTAACCAATCGAAGAAAACTCAAATTTTAGGGTGGATACTATCAATAAAATAAATAATTAATCGAAGAAAATTTGAATTTCAAGATAGTCAAGTGCCCACCCTGACTAAGCCGTGGCTCCGCGACTGCGTACAAGTATGTATCTTATTTAAGTGGGCTGCCTTCTATCTTTTTTGACTATAATCTAGTCACGAAAACGATAACTACGGCGTTGGTTCCTAGCAACTACCGGAATTTAACCTTTTCTGATTAAATTTGAAGTAACGTAACAAATCTTCCATTGGGTCGATCTAAGATAATATTCATCAAATTAAAACTTCGAACTCTAACATATTACATTAGGGAACAAATGCTAAAAATCTATTGAATGTTTATATAACAACACAGATGAAGGTAGATGAAAGGGAAAACCATGTTCGAAAACTATATGAATAGAGATGTCAACGGGATGAATTAGATTAGATTATCAGTCAATCTAATTCAAGAAGTATAGTTTAGAGTTTAAGATTTAAGATTTAAGGTACATGAAGTCGATCTGATTGGAATTTAGAAAAGTTCCATACGACTTGAAATTCAATTTAAATTTTGAGTAAAAATACATGTTTAACTCGATTTGACTCGACTGAAATTTATGTATGTATATATATATATATGTTTGGGCAAAATCAGTTACACTATGTAAAACTCTTTTAGTTTTACACCTTTTTAAGGCTGTTGTATGAGAGAAATTAAAGGTTGATATTAACGGTAGAAAATGAAAAGCTATTCATTGAAATAAAAAAGGAGTTATTCTATGCCTTTGATTTTTCTCAATCTAGCAATCCTAAAAATGTGTAAAAATAAAAGAGTTTTATACATAGTATAAGGTCCTAACCCTATATATATACACACACCATTTTATGATCATTGGATGAAGGAAAATCAAAAGCTGAGATTAACTCATTGTTTTTCCCCAAAATGAATATCTTCTCATTTCTTAATTTTAATCTCAGTCTTTGATTTTTCGGATGAATTGTCCTAAAAATGTATTAAAAAAATTTACTTTTACATTAGAAAAATAAGGACCTAATCAAAAAATATAAAAAAAGTATTATAACAATTATACTTAAAACAAAAACAACAACAACAACAAAACCCAATTCCCATATGCAATGGGGTAAGGGGGAGGTAGGGTAGTAGGCTGCCCCCAACGCCAGGTTGAGATCTGTGGAAGACCTCCGGCAGTCAGAAAATTAAAAATATAGATAAAATGCAAAGCATGTATAAATAAATACATAAATACATAGTTGAACAATATTCATATGCAGTCATAAATATCATTAATATCATATGCGCGTTTGAAATGGGAAGTAATCCCTATAAATAAATCCCTGCGAAAAAATCTTTGCATATAGACAGAAACGTAAGACCCGACTAAATTTAAAAGTGAAGAGAATATTACACAGAAGTCCACGATAGCAAGCCCAATTCTAAGCCTTCATAAATACCAATAACAGAAACGTATAAAAAGTAGAATTCATGGAAATTACTACAAAGGCATTAAAAGAAGACAGAGATGATACACCTTAGAGATGTGACTCACACTACTCGACTGCCCTAGTCTTTAGTCTCCATACTTTCGTATCAGAGGTCATGTCCTCGGTAAGGGCTAAATCCATCAAATCAAATCTCAAGCAGTCTTCCCACTTCCGCCTTGGTCGTCCTCTCCTTCTGACACCGTCGACTGTAATCGACTCTACCCTCCTGACCGCATCCGACGGTAGTCGCCTAAGGACATGCCCAAACCACCGTAGTCTTCCCTCCCTCAATTTTTCAGAAACAGGCACCCAACTCGATTCATATCAGAGATTTTTTATCCTAAACCTAACCCAACTCGATCTTATCTTTTAAAAAATATATAACTCAGTCCAAACTTTTTCGCACTTTTCAAATAGAATTTAATAAAATCAGATCCTCTTTAGTTTTGGAGCAGATTATAATCCCTACTTATGAGAACGATGAAGGTAGTTCAAAATGGGGGGAAGTGGGAAAGCAATCGGCCCAATATAATTGAGAGATGAAGAATCCAATAAAACAAACCCTAACTTGGGCCATATGATATTAATGAGGTTTTTAGGCCTAATGAGGCAGCCTGAAGTTTTTAAAAAAAATAGGACACACATATTTTTATTTCGAGTCTACAATATTTTCTACATAACCTAAAACTTATCACATCAAAGTGATGGGTTTTAATAAAAATTATATTTTATTTAAATTTTTTATCACGATGTGATAAATTTTAATAAAAAAAATTATATTTTACTAATTATATATCCCAAAATGACGGGTTCTATGAACATTGTAAAAAAAGTATGTATCCCAAAATAAATTTTTATTTGTCTTATTTTACTAATTAATTCTACCCACGCCAGGAGGGGCATAAAAGTAATTGTGGCAAAACAAGGCCTCGGCTTAATTCTCTGGTCTGATATTATTGTGGGTTCGTTAGAAGAGGATTAAGAGATTGAGTACGCCGAACAAAGCTCCGTCGAGAGGAGTTGAAACCCGCACCTTTTTTAAACTTTCAAAACTCGAACGAAAACGCATCAAAACGTAGTACTTTCTCATACTGCCTCCTGTTTTTTCTTTTCTATAAATAGAGGTTTTGTCAGCTTTTCGTCTATGCGTCTTCCCATTGTTCGTGAGTTTTCCTTATCCTTTCACTATTGGGGTTTGATTGGTGCATTTGTTTTTTTTTTCACTTGAATTTATTCAATTTATAATGTTGGGGTTCCCCCCTATTGCAGAGCTTGACATCTGCGTGAATGGCTTGGCGAAGGGTGGGGAAGAAAGTAAGTTTTTTTTAATTGTATTGGGCTGAGATTGGAGACGTTGAAAATACAGATCTCTTAAGTTGGCATTGGTTGAATTTAGGGTTCCTTGAATATCTTGCATTCTTTGTTATTCGATAGAACTGTACGGCATCTACTTTGTGGCCGTTATACGTATATTTGACCCTTCATTGATTGTAATATAGGGTAGGAAATGGTATGGAAGTTATGAGTGTACGTGTTGCAGTGTTAGTTGGGAATTCAGATGGGATTTATTTTTTCTTAAGCTTAGTTTTTAGCCAAGATATTCAATCAGATAAGAACTCGATTGCATACAGGTTTCCTTGATTTGTTTCTTTTTATCCATATTCTATTCAAAAATAACTTCCATCATTTTTGTAATTAAGTTCCTGAATATGATCATATTAGCAATATTCAGTCTTTATCTTTACTTTCGCATTGAGTGCAGCATATATATTGTTCCACAAGAAGAGAGAATCCGGTAGGTGTTTTGTGTGTGCCTTAGTTGCCGATTGCTGTTATTTTTTCTAACATTGTTTACAGGGACTTGAGTCCAGTCTCATTAGAGCTCTTGCTTCTGCATCTGTAGGAGCTGCAGCTGGGATAAGGTCTACACCTAGTCTTGATCTTGGACTAAAATCAATTACTGCTTCTGTTAAATGCATACATGGTAAGCTGAAAAGCCATCCAATTTAATTATGCTAGCCTTGTCTTGTTTAATATGCATCTATAAACTTATGCATAAATGCAATATCTAGATGTTTATATGTTAAATCTATGGATGTAGGAGCATGTATGTTTTGTGAGTTAGTAAACTTCTGTTACTAGCTCTTCTGATTGGTTTTAGCAATGAATTACTCACTTAGAAATTTAAGTCATTTGATTTTTTTTTCTCGGATTGAAGTTTGCATGATTTTAGTTAGTCAGGTTCAGTGATGATTGACATAATTTGAAAATAACCAATGAGCCATGTAATGTGTTTTTTGTGTTATTGTATTCACCGTAAGTGTTTGCTACTGTAGACTCGTCTTTCAATTCGTTTATATGGGGATATAGGTATCATAAAGTTTTGAACAATGAACCTTTAATACGGTAAGTTGACTTTCTCGATTCTCTTTTTATTTTTAGTAGGTTGATCTTCCCACCCACCCCCCCAACTTTTGTATTCAGTCCCGGGAAGCTAGGAAGCTACTATCTCTGCTATAATTTTATTCTTCTAATATGTGATGTATTTTTTTAGTATTATCATTTTGCTTTTATTAGCTTTTCCAATAGTTCTTTGAGTTGCTTAATCTGCCCTTAATGCAAATATATTCACCAAGAGGTCCTACATAACTTGTGTAACTCATATATATATATATATATATATATATATATACACTCTCATTAGACATGTATAATATCAATGGTACAAAAAATTGGAATTCAAAAGGGTGTTAACCGGGCTTTATTGATTCAAATTTCAAAATAACTGATTTAAGCATGATTTCAATATTTGAGATTTGCAATAAAATGTGGAATGTTGGTCATTATTGATTCAAATTTCAAAATAACTTTGGACATGGATGATTTTCGTGACTGCTTGTGTGATTTACAATTGATTGATCACCCTTACTCTGGCCCTATGTTTACTTGGTCAAACATGCAAGAGGAGAGATTCTTGGCCCGCAAATTGGATAGGATTCCTTTTAATGGTTAGTGGCTTCAGGATTTCCCAGATTCATTTGTTGAATTTAAGGTCAAGGGAGTTTCTGATCACTGTCCCGGCTTGTTTGATTTGGACGAGGAAGGATAATCATGCTAATAGGCCAAAACCATTTAAGTTTTTTAATTGTTGGATTGCTCATGAGAAGTTTATGGACACTGTTAAGAGTTCATGTCAGGTTGAAGCCTCGAGTAATGCCATATAGATTCTTTTTAACAAACTGGAAAGGTTTAAGCCAGTGTTGAAGGGGTTTAATTCTGCTTACTATTATGATATTTCCAAAAGAGTTTCTGCCAAGAAAATTCAATTTGAGCAGCTGAAATTATCTAATTTGGATGGTGGCTGGGACTTAGAGGATGAGAAGGTTGTTCAGGCTGAGTTGATTGAGTTGGAGGCTGTGAAGATCTCTTTTTATAAACAAAGGGAGAAAATTCATTGGGTGAATGAGGGGGATTTGGGTACCAGATTCATTATGCCGTTGATAAAAATAAGAAGAATACAATCAGATTGTTGCATGATTGTAATAGTAATCAGCTGGAAACTTTTGAATCCATGTCCAACGAAATGATTCAGTTTTTTACTGAGCTTATTGGTAGGTCTGATCCTTATGTTCAAGACTGTCATGTGAATGTTCTTGGGGATTTATTGGATGGGATTTTACCTGAGTTTGGTCGTGAGTTAGAAAGGGAGGTGACTCTGAGATAAAGGAGGCCTTGTTTAGGAATAGGATGATAAAAGTCCTGCCCGAATGGGTATTCTGCTGGTTTCTTCAAAGTCGTATGTGATGTTGTTAAGGGTGATTTTATTGCCGTTGTGAGGTCATTTTTTCAGCGTTCTTCTTTGTTTCCTTCTTTTAATGTACAACCTTTGTTCTTATTCCTAAAGTTCATAATGTTTCTATAACTAAAGACTTTCGTCCTATTTCCTACTGTTTTGTCTTTTATAGTAGAAATGAATAAATGAAGGCTTAAACAGACCAAACAAAATACAATTACAAGAACAACATAATCGTTTGGCACCCGAGCATTTTGATTACAGGTTGGTGCAAGTATCCGCCATCTTAAAGAGCTGGGTTCAAATCCTTAGTCTCTAGATTCCAGTTTTTTTAAAAAAGTCACGTGGGTATAACTGAACGCTCAACCTTTCCACAACCTTGACCACTGCCATCAGTCGTCAACTATCCACTTTCCACCGTTCTTCGTCCACCATCACTGTTCGCCGACCACCGTCCGCCGTCGCACTCCGATCTCCGTTCGACGCCATTTTTCTCAGGGAAGCTCGCCTACTTATGGAGATTCCAAATATGGGCTTAGATTTGCGATGAAGTCTTCCAATCGGTGTAGATCTATACTTTCTTCACTGTCGATTTTCGCCGCCAACCGTCGTCCGTTTTGACAAAGCCTCACCACCAAGCTCTGCGTCATTTGGCGACCAAATCCCACCTTTGCTTGAGTTGAGAAGCGTTGTTGTTCTCCAGGATTTCGATTTTTACTGTTTTGTAATTTCCAGAAACTGTTACTGTTTCACCGTCATTTTGCGTCGACCAGGTTGTTCTGACGTTACTAGGTTCTTTGACATTACCGGGGGTGCTACAGATTATCTGACAATTGCTCTAAATCTGTCTGTTTGGGCTCAACTAGTGATATTTTAGATTACTGTTTTCTGCTGTTAATTTATTGAGAGCATTTTCGAATTGCTCTTTTGAGGGACAAAAGTTATGACAGATGACTCAAAGCTCAGGGAAGGAAGGTGAGATAATAACTTTGTTTGTGCAAAACATACCGCCTACATATCATTGGAGTGGGTTGAGACATCTATTCGGGAGGCATGGTGATGTGATTAGTTCTTATATAGCAAGGAAAAATGTTAGAACAGGAAAGCGCTTTGGCTTTGCTAGATTTTCCAACAGAGGTGACTCAGTTAGAGCAGTCCAAAGATTAAATGGATTCTGGTTATTTGGATATCAGTTATCAGTCAAAGAAGCTCAGTATGGAGCCAAAAATCAAATCTGGAAACTGAAATATCCTTCAACTTCCAGTGCTACAACCAGGGTAGAACAAGGAACAAGCGTTAGTGGAGAAAGTCCGGAGGAACTTGCAAGAAGGAGGACTAGGTTAATTCAGGGGATATAGATGAGGAAGTTGTTCGAAAGCTCCAGAAGCGCCTCGTAGGAACGATGTCGACGGTATGCTCTTCGAGTCAGGTGGATGACAGATTACAAGCTGGTGGTTTAGGAGAAATTAAGACCAAGTTCCTGGGAGGGAGAGATTTCTTATTGCAAATAGCTGAGGAAGAGTTATACAGAACCTTGAAGGAGCAGAACTGGTCGATTTTGAATGAAGTTTTCCAGGAAGTTCAACCTTGGTCAGAATCTTACAGAGCTTCGGAAAGAGTTACATGGATTAAATTGTTTGGAGTGCCGCTTCATATCTTGAATCATAGCACCTTTAAGAGGATTGCACGACAATAGGGAGAATGCTTAGCACTGGGGGAAAATGCACTTCAAGAATTGGGCTGCGAGGAGATGACTATTTTGATAGCAACTACTATGAAGGAATTAATTGATGAAGTGGCAGACTTGGAAGCAGGTAGAGATTTATTTCGAATTAGAGTAGTGGAAGTTCCCACAGTTAGAAGAGATTCTTTGTTTCGAAAGCGGGAAGAAAAAGATGGTGCGGTTGTAGTCGATTCTGATTCTCCAGTAGGAAGAAGCGTGGAATCATCGGAGGAGAATAATTCCGAGAGGTGTTCTGAGGAAGAAGACAGTCAATTATTGTGTATGGGGATCAGAGCTGAAGGTAGCAACTTGTCGGGTGAGGATGAGGAGGAAAGGAACATAGGGGAGGAAATAATTATGGGTATGAGGAATAATGTTGCTGGTCAGGGGAAGGTTCAAATGCAAATCAAGGAAGCGGTGGAACATGAGGAAGTGCTGGAAGCGGTGGAACACGAGGTAGTGCTGGATCACGTACTGAGAGAGGTAGAAGGTGACAACAAGAAATTTGGTAAGACTGCACGTGTTAATAAGGAGATGAAGGATAATTTAATAGATTTGCCCATCTTGGATGGTCGTTTAGAGTCAAAGGAGGTGGAGGATGTGATTAATATGGGCCTTACAAATAATTGTGCTATCATAAGATCCAAGGGAGAGGAAGTCCAACAGGATAGGGCTGTGGTTGAACGGGTGATTGGAAAACCCAAATCAAGGATAGTATGTGAGGATTTGGACCAGAGTCTTAGCTTGTCAACACAATTGAGGGATGTTTCTTTCTCGCTCATTCCAGGCAGAACCAGAGAGCTAAAGAGGGGATTAACAATAAATATAGCTCTCTCTAAATATTTGAAGAGAAATATTCGACTCCCCGTAGGAAGACTAGACTCTGCCGAAGCAAGACTAATCAGAAGAAGGTGCATCGCGAGGAAGAATTGACTGAACTTGAAGTCTCACAAGTATTTTTGATTTCGGAAAACTATAGCAGTGGGAGAATTGGAAGTTTCAGGCGATTCGCATTTGATTATTGAATGAAGTTGGAGGTTCGGATGGTCTCCGATGACAAGACGAGCAATAAGTGGTAGAAAGGCCGATAGAGTGATTTCGAAGCTAGATTTTTTTACTCTTATATTGTGGAAGCTCATGGCTTTTGTGTTAGAATTTGGCTTTTTTGGAATGAGTTAATTGATATTGAGTCTGGCAATATGATGGATTCTTTCATAGCATCTACAAATCCAGGCCCTCCAACTTTGCTGGAGCTTTTTCCTAGGTCTTGTAATATGGGGGTAGACAAGTTAGTAAAGGAGGGGATTGGTTGATTGTTTCAGGCTTTTGGTTGTACTGTTTTCTGTTGTATTCTAGGAAATGTTTAGCCGTTAAGTCTTCATTGTTGTTACTAAATTGGTTAACAGCTTAGCCAAAATTTATACTGTGTTAGTAGCTTAGTTGGTTTAGGCTGAGCTAGTTCTGTTGTATAGGGTTGTCTTCGGTTCTTTTTTGGTTTTTTGGTTATGTTGGGGGTATTTATCTGGTTGTATCTTATGTAATTTCTTTTGGGTAATGAAATCTTTAGGCACTCTTTTCCTCCTTCCGCTGATTAAGGAGCTTCTCTACAAGCTCCTTTAATCAAGAAGGGGTTTTTTAACGAGGCCTTCAATTCCTATAAAAAAACAATTACTCAAATTCTTGTTAGTAGATTGACCCCTTATTTCCCTGATTTGATTTCTCCTAGCCAATATGCTTTTATAAAAGTGAGGAGTATTGTTGACAACACTTTGTTGGCCTAGGAAATGGTTAAAGGTTATTCTCGTAAAACTTTGTCTCCGAGGTGTGTTATAAAGATAGACCTTCACAAGGCTTTTGACTCCGTTAGCTGGAAGTTTTTGTTAAAGGTTCTTGAAGTTGTGGGTGTCCCTCTTAGGTTTCAATGCTGGATTGAGGCTTGTATTACCAATTCTAGGTTCTCGGTTTCTTTCAATGGTAGTGGGTTACTTTCGGGGTGATAAAGGTGTTAGACAGGGTGACCTCTTATCACCATATCTCTTCATTCTAGATATGAATGTGCTCTCTGTTTTGCTTGATAGGATGGCCAAAGAGGTCAGATTCCACCCAAAGTGTAAAAATGTGAATCTTACTCATCTATTCTTTGCTGATGACTTATTAATTTTTTTTCATGGTTATATAAATTTTGTTTTAGGGGTTCTTAGTGTCTTGGAGCTATTTTATGATATTTCTGAGTTAAAGCTTAATGCTACCAAGATAGATTTATTTTGTTGTGGTTTGTCTGATAATCAAATTAATTCCATTCAAACTGCTATCGAGTTTAAGGTGGGGCATTTTCCAGTTCAGTACTTGGGTGTTCCTCTAGTTACAAGGAAATTGAGTGATAAGGATTGTGCGGCTTTGATTGATAAGATTAAAAGTAAATTGGGGCAGTGGTCTACCAAAAATCTCAGTTATGGTGGTCGTTTGCAGTTAATTAAAGTCGTTCTTTTTAACATGGTGAATAATTGGAGTAGGGAGCTTGTTTTGACTGTCTGTGGTTCGTAAGGTGGAACAATTGTTCATGTAGTTTTTCTACCGTGGTAGTGATTGCTCTGCCAGTGGGTCTCGTGTTAACTGGACACAAATTAGCTCTGTCAAGTCTGAACGAGGTTTGGGATTGAAGACTCTTCTTGGTTGGAATAAATATTATTGCTTGTTGTTGATAAAGAAAATTCTGGCGGGTGAGGGCTCTCTCTGGGTGGCTTGGATTGAGGTTTATGTTTTAAAGGGGATTGATTTTAGGGTTGTTGATTATAAGTCACATTTCAGTTGGATCATGCGGAGGCTGTTAAAGCTTAGGGATGAGGCTGAGAGTTGGTTTGTTGGCATTGTCAATTGGTTGTGAGCAGTAAATGGGTGTAGGAAAGGGTTCAGGTTAGAAGTGACAAATTGGGTTGGCATAAGCTTCTTTGGTTTCCTAAGTACTTGATTATCGCTTGGATGGCTTGCTTGAACAATTTGCCTACTAAGGATAGGCTTTTGCGGTTTGGAATTGTTTCGGATGAGATTTATGGTTTGTGTGGGGTTGTGCAAGAATTGAGTGATCATTTGTTTGCGGATTGTCCTTATTATTGTCGTGTTTGGCAGGGGATCATGAGGGCCTGCAGGCTCCAATCGAGATACATGGATTGGGAGCAGATGCTGGTTTGGGCTTCTGAGCATTGGAGAGGTAATTCGCTAATTGTTGGTATTTTAAAGCTTGCTTGGACCTGTTTTTTTGCATTGTATTTGGGAGGAGCATAATTTTAGGTTGTTTAGGAGTGTTGTTTGTTCAGATGAGGTCATTGTTGAACATATAAAGGATATAGTTCACATTAAGTTGAGTAACTCTTGTATGGACAAAGGGGATAGTGTGAATAGGAGGTAATGTGCTGAGTGGGGGCTTTCTCTTTGAGCTGGCCTTTGGCTATTTGTTGTAGTTTGTTTTTGGTTTAATGGAATTCTTGATTTATCAAAAAAAATAATAATATTATTTGTTAATTAATTAATAATCTTTATTTAAAATACATTTTAATAAAATTAAAATAATAATTGTCAAAAGGATTTAAAAAAATATATAATTAATTTAATTATTTAGTTAAATATTAAAGAATTTGATGTGTATATAAAATTAAGGGTAAAGTACACAAATAGTCCCTCAACTACATGATATTGCTTTATTAAGTCACTTGATTATTAAAAGTTACAAATTGGTCCTGTGACTATAGAGTGTTGTTCTGTTGAGTCCATCGACTAGTAAAAGTTACAAAATAGTCATCTTACTATTATAAGTTCCAAACCATCTTTTTCTATTAAAATATTGACGATTGTTATAGCTGGATGTTAATATGATGTATCAGATATGATAGTCATTTAAGATTTAAGATGATCATTTTATAACTTTTAATAGTCGAGGACTTAATCAAACAATATTCTATAGTTTAAAGAATCATTTTGTAACTTTTAATAGTCGAATGACTTAATAAAATAGTATCTATAGTTGGGGTCAAATTTGTATACTTTGCCCTAAAATTAGAAAGTATAAAGATGGAGTGGAAACGATGCCGTTAAGCCAGCCCATCGAATAGATCACCTCTCTCGTCGTTAGGTAAGGCCAAATGGCCCTTGAGTCCCTCGACGAGTCCGTCACTCTCAACAAAAATCTTTGCTTCCTTCTAAAGGCCAAACTCTTCTCTTCCACCTTCCCCCTCCCTTTAAAAATAAACGAAAACCTCTCTTACCGACCCTTCCGTTATATCTAACCCATTTTCCTCAGTCTTTTACGCCGTCTCCCGAAAATGGAAGCCTCCACTTCTCTTTCTCGTATCGGGTTAGTCGTCATGGGCCAAAATCTCGCTCTCAATATCGCCGAAAAAGGCTTTACAATCTCCGTCTATAACCGTACTACATCCAAAGTCGACGAAACAGTTAAACGCGCCCAAGATGAAGGCAAACTCCCTCTCTTCGGCCACTACTCCCCTCGGGAATTCGTTCTGTTAATCCAACGGCCCAGATCTGTCGTCATCATAGTTAAAGCTGGCGCACCCGTCGACCAAACTATCGCCGCTTTATCCGACCATATGGAGCCCGGCGACTGCATCATCGATGGTGGTAACGAGTGGTACGAGAACACCGAGAGAAGGATGCTGGAGGTTTCGAATAAGGGTATTCTTTATCTCGGTATGGGTGTTTCCGGGGGAGAAGAGGGGGCCCGATATGGCCCGTCGTTTATGCCCGGCGGATCTGACCAAGCGTATACGAATATCAAAGACATACTCGAGAAAGTGGCGGCGCAAGTAGAAGATGGACCCTGCGTTACTTATATTGGCGAAGGCGGATCAGGTAATTTCGTTAAAATGATTCATAATGGAATCGAATACGGTGATATGCAGTTGATTTCTGAAGCTTATGATGTGCTTAAACATGTTGGGGGGCTTTCGAATGATGAATTAGCTTAGATTTTCGCCGAATGGAACCAGAGAGCTTGAGAGTTTCTTAATTGAGATAACTTCTGATATTTTTAGAGTTAAGGATGATTTGGGGGATGAGTATTTGGTAGATAAGATTTTGTATAAGACTGGGATGAAAGGTACTGGTAAATGGACTGTGTAGGAAGCTGTTGAGTTGTCTGTTGCTGCCCCTACAATCGCAGCGTCATTGGACTGTAGGTATTTGAGCGGGTTAAAGGAGGAGAGGGAAAATGCAGCTGATGTTTTGAAACAAGCTAGTTTAAAAGAGGAAGTTGGGGGTTCAGCTCAGGGGATTGACAAGAAGAGATTGATTGATGATGTTAGGCAAGCTTTATACGCCTCGAAGATATGTAGTTATGCTTAAGAGATGAATTTTTTGAGAGCTAAGAGTGTTGAAAAATGGGTGGAAGTTGAACTTGGGAGAACTGGCTAGGATTTGGAAAGGTAGGTGTATTATCAGGGCTATGTTTTTGGATAGGATCAAGAAGGCTTACCAGAGGAACCTTAATTTGGCTAGCTTGCTTGTGGACCCTGAGTTCGCTCGGGAGATGGTTCAGAGGCAGGCAGCTTGGAGGAGAGTCGTAGGGTTGGCTATCTCTGCTGGGATCAGCACACCGGGAATGTGTGCTAGCCTTGCCTATTTCGATACCTATAGGCGTGCGAGGCTCCCTGCAAATCTTGTGCAGGCACAGAGGGACTTGTTCGGGGCGCACACCTATGAGAGGACTGATCGTCCTGGGTCATTCCATACGGAGTAGAAGAAGGTTGCACACGGAGTTGGTGTACTCAATTGAGTTTTCCTAGTTAAGTTTGCTGTACTCGGGTTTTCTTGTTTGTTTCAGTTGAGATTGGTTATGTTTCTATGTTGGAATAGGATTCTACCTTGGCATTGTTGCCATGATAGTTCAATCTTGCAGCTCTCTTTTTCTTCTAGTAGAAATGCAAAAGGGTTATATTCCTGTTATACTGTCAAGTTTAAACAAGAAATGATGATATGAATAATGATTACAAATTTTTTGCAACTTTGTTCGTATTGTTGAGAGCAGTTGCAACTGCACAAGAGTTCTGATATAGCAACAGAGAAATGATCAATAATTGGGGGGGACACAGCAGAGTAGCAAAAGCAAAGCCCGTTGACAATTGCATTCAGGTTTGAAAATGGGCTTTTCAATCCAAATCTGAACTCAGATTAGTCTGGGCTTAGGTGGCCAAGTCGGACTCACTTTTTCGGCCACAAAATTCTTGAGGATTTGCTTGATACATTCTTTTTATTATTTCATGAATGCGAATGCTTTGGTAGGTACAAGGGATCACGAGTAATTAAACAATTTACAAAGGTCTAAAAATATCGTTAAGTGTCTAAAATCAACTGCTTTTTTTATTAATCTACTGTATTTACGGGCGATTTTCTCGATATATCATCGGTGATCAGTAATATTACCGATCTAACACCGATCAGACTATATTTCCCGTCTAACACCTTTAGTAGTAAAGCGCACCCCCTGCACTGCGTTATACGATGATTTGGCGCCACGTGCGGTATAGCGCGCCCCCTGCACCGCGCTATACGGTGAGCTGGCGCCACATAGGTATAGCGCGGCCCCTGCAGCGCTATACGCCACGTAGGGGTATAGCGCGGATCAGGTACCACGCTATACATTTACTCCTAATAATTTTATATAGCGCGGGGCAGGTACCGCGACATACCTTTACTCCACATAATTTTATATAGCGCGGGGCAGGTACCGCGTTTTGTATAACTTTCCTCGCTATAAATACCATTCTCCGCCGGTTAATTTCTCACATCTCTCCTCTCAACTTATAAATTAATACAACAATTCTGTCAACGAGTCAATAATTCTGACAATCTTCTCATATTTTATTTAGAAGTTCGTGCGATTTTTCGTTATAAGGTAATTATGTTATAATTTTTTTATATTTATTGTTTATTATGATTATTTGAAAAAAATATTATACTAATTATTTTCAATTAATTTTTGTGTTTGTAAAATTGGAAAGCGGGTGCATACGTCGAAATAGTTTTGCGGTGCAGGTAATAATATTAAATTATATTATTTAATTTATTTACGTTGATGTGTAAAAAATTTATTGTGTTATATGTTCGTTCATATATAATTTATTAAATCATGTTTGTTTCATTTATTTTTTTTTCAGATATAATAGTTCTGCACTTTTAAACTCAAATAATGGCGCGACTTTCAGCTATTGTTTATTATGATGGTGAAATTCGAGAAGATGAAACCGGCGTTGTTTTCGTATCAAATGAGCGTGTTAAAATATCATTCAAGAGAAACATAACTCTTGATGAGCTTATAACGAAGATTTCGAGTAAGATTCATGTTGGAAGTAGTAGAAGAGTGTCGTCGTTGCAGTATAGATTTCCAACATCATTGTTGTCATTAACTTATACAGTGTTCGAACTTTCGAACAATGATGATATTCAAATGATAGTTGAAGCTCAAAGTAATTATTCAGACGCCGCTATTGAGATGTATGCACATTTTATTCAAGTGCGTGATATTCGGGGTCAATCATTAAGCTCCCAATATGGGCTGACTGAACAAGTTGATCAAGTTGACAGCCTGACGACATTAATGTGTAATGATTTTAATGCCATAATGGGGAGACATTCATCCGTAACTCCTTACGATATGTACTAAGGTAGGTCGACGAACAATTCGTATGACAACATCGCGTCCAGTTCAAGGGGAAGGCATTCATCTGCAAATCCCTTTGACCTTAATATGGAGATGTCATCAACGCAACCATCTGTGCAGTTTCCATTTGACGCGATGACTTCAAGCTCTAAGGGGAGGCATTCGACTGCGAGCTTTTTCGATCTCAATGTCGATATGCCTTCTAGTTCAAGGGGAAGGCGTGCAAGTAATATGTTCTTCGACCTAAATGTGGAGAGCATGGAAGAACCATTATCTCCACCAGAAGAACCGCTTCGTGAGCCTGGTGCGGATGGTGCTGAGACTGGACTGTTCATTGACTCAGAATCACCGCAATTCAACTCCGATGATGATGAAGTTCCCAGAAATGTGGCACAAACTGACCCTCATGCACACATGTATGAAGCTGATTATGGTGCAATGTACGGGCCAGAATTTGCGGATATGTCTCATCTCGGTGACTATGGGTATTACTCATCAATAAATAATGGTGAGTTATCTTTAGGCATGGAGTTTTCAAGCAAAGAAGAAGCGATGATGGCTATCAAAAATTACAACATTCGTAATTATGTTCAGTCCAGAGTAGACCGTTCCACGACTGAAAAATATGTATGCTACTATTCCCAACGCAAAAACGGATGCAATTGGATGGTTCGCGTATCGAAGAGGAAGAGGAAAAACAACAGATGAGAACTAACAGTATACAACGGTCCTCACACATGTTGTGTTGGAGGGATCAACCAAAATCATCCCAACTTGGACTCTGAAGTGATATGC